AGCATCCCTCATTCAGGAACGGATCGAATTCTACCGATTCCGCGAAACCTGGAAACTTGGACGTGATCCATTCGCCATTGAAAACCTGACGGAGTGCGTTTATTAGTGCGGATCGGGCTGTGCGCAGAGTTGGGGGGGGAACTTTCCAATCGAAACCCAGCCCTGCGCTAGATGAGTACTTCTGCTCTTATCTAGCCTACACGTCTCTCCCTGATTGCCCAGCTGTCTCGATGATTGACACCGAACGAGGTGTGCGCTTAGGCTTTTCTGGCTTTTCTAGTCTCTTTGAAGTTGGTGCATTCTTATCAAATCGATTCTTTTGTTTCCATCTCTTGGGCAGATCTCTCAGTTCCATATTGCCGCATCTTTTCTTGAGATGGTATTTCTTGTCTAATACCTGTCCTGGAACAGCTCTGCGAATCTCATTCCAGACTAAATTTCCAACCAATCCATCCTCGCAGCATCTATCGAACACCTGGAGTGCCATTCGAGTTCGAGCGTCTCCTTGGGGCATCAGATTTGCGATACATTTGATCATATTTCCATAGGTCACAGTAGTTGCGTCAACTCCTTCTTGTCGCATTTGCTTATATGTGGCCACTGCAATTTTGATGGCCTCTCGACGCTCTTCCTCGGAAGTTCCGAGAGAAGAAAATGCACATGCGTTGAGCACTGTGTTGAAAGGGATGTCAGACGGTTTCAAGTTCGGCCGTCCTGTTGCCTTGTAGGTGTGTAGCATCTGATCCAGCATCTTTCGAATTTTGGCAGCTTTGTGTGGCTCTTTCGATTTCGCCCAGGCATCCATCACACACGAAAAACTGATAGCATCAGGGGTGATCTCACTTCTGCCTGACTTCAGCATGTAATTAAGAACTTTTTCCGCTCTGCCCAGAGCTATGTCCATATCGCTCTTTGACCAAGCATGTAGGATCGTGTTATAACTGATTGTATTTGGTTTTGGGGTTATTGATGCGTCATAATCTTCAGATTTTACAGCCTTCTCCATTTGTTGAACTAGTCTCTCTGTTTGAGGGGCCGCATCAGCCCTCCCAGAGTGGCTCCAAGCAGAAAGGACGATGTTGTAGGTGATGATATCGGGGTGGCAACCTAGCTTTGGCCCGTCCCGTTTTTCATTTGCAGCATCTTTCATGGTTTTTAGAATGTCGGCTGCCTTTATTCCAGCGTCAGGATTGCCAGATTTGGCCCATGCGTCCATTGCGGCATTGAAAGCAACAGTATCTGGCGCCACTGCCCTAGACTTCTTGTCGCTGGTGCCTCCCTTCAGCATTTTTCGCAAGAGTGCTTCTGCTTTCTCAGCTCCCTCTGTGCTGCCCACTCTTGCCCACGCATTCATGACTATTCCAATCAAGACAATACGGTTAGATTACTATCTTTCGTCTGGATCTTTGCAACAAACCAATAGAAACATACCTGTAGTGTAGGAGATGGTCGTTGGGTGCAGGGAATCGCTCTGAAATTCCTCCATTCGATACAAGATTAGCTGGGCACGTTCCGCACTTTCCAAAGTCCCCTGTTTCGCCCACGCATTCAGCAGCGTGTCGCAGGTGACTTCCGACGCCCTCTGTTGTGGAACATCTCCACCCTCTCCTTCTTCCACTTCCACCAACCATTGAAGCATGAGCTCTTCCGCTCGTTCGGGTGCGTGGTTCTTGGCGTAAGCATCCATAATAGAAGTATAAGTGAATGCATTGGGTGGAATGTTGTCGGCACGCATTTGCTGCAAGACTTCTTCGGCTTTTTGTCCTGAATCTTCGTAGTTTGACTTGGCCAATGCATGAATCCACAAATTATATGACTTTTGGTCCATGGAAATCATATCCTCTTGGTATCTATCCCATTCACCATTTGCATACTTCTTTTTTACGCGTTTCATCATTTCTTCGGCCTTTCGGACCGCTTTGGGATCATTCTTATGAACGAGGCTTTGGACATCTTTAAGCCACAAGTATCGTTTCCTTTTCCATTGGCCTTTGGACATTGGTTGGTTTTGACGCGTTGACGCCTCAATGCTGTCCACCATGTTATCAACAAAGTTTTCGATGGCATCAAGGGCATCATCGATCTCCTCCCCTTCGTCATCTGAGGTTTCTGTCACGGACAGTGATGGCGGGAAGGAAAACCTGGATCTTGAAAGCTGTGAGGATCTGAATGATGTATCAATCAGGCGTAAATCATTCCACCTCAGCGTAAACGTCTCAGTCAGAGGAAGCAAGGCAAGCAGGAGGGTAGCCAATGCGAATGGCCTTGTGGTATACATTATCCCAGCAAGGATCATCATTTGTGCGTCCACAACAGGGGTCCACACCAAGGTATCTTTGGTTCTTTTTCAACTGAACAGTCCCGCAGTAAGATCGATTGTAAAGAAGCAGTCGATATGCGTCGTCTGAAGTGATTATGCCAGCAATGCTCGCAGATGAATCTAGGATTTTGGTAACAGTGCCAACTGTGTTCTTACTCTATCAATATTACACAGTTATCGGAGATAACGGAACGGGATGACGTTGTTGTGATGGAAACGGAGGGGAGGACAGGCCAAACAGTCCCCGTCCCCATAAGTTTGAAGTTCAAAAGATCCCCCTGAATGCTGACAGTACGAACAACTTCACTTGAAATTTTCCAATGTGACTAACGATGAATGGTTGTCAAAACTGAACGGTTCAAGTATCCACCAGTTACTTACAGGCTAATTCATTGCAGTTGATATCATGACTGCAGAATGAGACAGAAATCAACATCAACGCGCTACATAGCGCTCATCCTAAGCTTACTTGTGCTGACATTTGCGTACATACAAAGTGGCAATCTTGATGTGCTTCTACCGTCACGATCACAGCACAATTGGAAATCTGGCACTAGTGGTTACACTCAACTTGAGGAAATCGATGCGAGGGATCAATCCTCAAGCGATACTAAGCAAAGTCACGACCAATCTGTCGCGTACGCAGCTGAGATACCGCAAAGAGATCCGCCTACATCACCAAGACTGACACCAACTTTGCCGCCAGAAACATCTCCACCATCATCATCATCTACCAAATCTCCCGCTGAAAAAGACCCAACACAGCTTGAGACTAAACATGAATATACGGACAAAGCCACCATCGTGATTGCCTTGTCGGGAGAAATGGCCAACAATCTCATGCACATTGCCCATGGCATCGGTCTACAGCAATTGGCAAAAGATTTGTACAACATTGATTGCAACTTGGTACTACGTCACCATGTGGGCCCCAACAATCGAGCTCCAAAACCGAAATGGAAGTCGGCCCGGAGCAACATTCAGCAGTGCTTCCCCAAGTTGGCTGACTGGGATTTTTCAGAAGGCAATACTCCACACTACAAGGAACAAGCACAAAAGCAAGACGATTGGCTAGGGAAGGATCGATATGACTACTTGACAGGTCATGTCAACGCTCACAACCAGACCGAAATTGAGACAGGGTTGGCATATCTGGCCAAGAAGCTTCTAAAAGATTCCAAGCGTCCAAAGCAGGATGACTCCAAAGGTCCAATTCGATTGCCTTTTATGCTTTCGCAAACATTGGATGCATTTCCCCTCATCAACAAGTATTATACACAAATTCGCGATATCATGACTTTTGACAATGTCAAATGTTGCAATCGACTTCCCGAACCCAACGAATACGTCTTTCACTACCGCAATTACCAATCCGAGTTACCCCGAACCCGAGCCTACGATATGGGATTTGCAGAACTGTCTCCGCAAAAGACGGCCAAGGAACTATTTGGACACTTGAAGAAGGAAGCAACAAAAGCAAAAGTCGGAATTACCACACGCATCCCAAATCAAGTGGCTCGTGATCAAGTGGAAGCCTTGGAACAAGAAGGAGTCCAAGCCTATTTGGTGGAAGACCAATCGGCAGTGGCGGACTTTTGCTTCTTGAAAGAATCCAAGAAGGAATTGGTAGGGAATGCTCGGTCGACCTTTGTCTTTTGGGCGGGCCTCTTGGGAGATGTGCCAAAAGTCCGCCTGTACCACGTCGACAATTGGGGATTACGGAATCGGCATCCCAACTTCTATGAACGATTTACTTACAACTGGACACATCCCAAACTAAAAGAACGGATCGAATTTGAATTGTATCAGGCCGAGGAAATGGAAGAAAAGGGAGCAACCTAGTAGATTTTCGGACAGGGACAAGATCCGATCATCATCGCAGGAAGGTATGGATGCAATCCATGGCCTCAAGGAAATGAGCGTCTTGAAAAGAAGAATATTATTTGGAGAATGGAGAATGTTGGGACAAATGGAGAAGTACGAGTACCTGGTATCGTATATCGTAGTACCTGGTAGCGAACATAAGACATCGTAGGAATCTGGTATGCGAATGCCTTCAAGAAGTATAGTACTGACCAGATAACGAAGTATTGAGCAGAAGGAATGCAGTCGTAGCAAGATTGGGCCTGTACTACTATGTAGAACTTGACTAGAAGAAGAACTTGCTGGATATATAGAGTAAAACTGAGTAGTTTTAGCTCGTAATTGTAGGACCGATAGATTTGGATTACTGTAGTAGGGATATTCCATCAAAAGTGACCCAAGTAGAGACGAAGAGCAACAAGACTGTGCCAGTTATACGCTTTAGGTTGCGGGAGGCCAAGCAGAGTCGTGTTCGCCGGTCAAATCTTGAAAAACTTGATGTATCATGTTGAAAAGTATGCGTTATAAAAAGATGTTCTTTATCTTATTATACTGTTTCACACATCTGTCGAAATAGAGTAGTCATGGGTATTTGATCATAGCCAGTAGTAGCTAGCTAGGTAGCTAGGCTTGGCAAGTTCTGGCCGTAGAAAACCAATATCGAACGATGATTCGTTTTCATAGATTGTGTCCTTTCCTGCTCGCTGGTCGTTTCAGCAGTGGTGATCGTGCTGGTAAATCTTGAGAGAATGAATGGCGCAGGAGCTGGGCCAATGAATGAATGAATGATTGCTTTCAATCAATCAATCAATCAATCAATCGGTCATGCCGTCGTCTATACTGCCTCAACCTCCCATTCGGTGCCTGAGTTGTCGTTGACAGACATCTCTGCGCTTGATATTTCTGTGCGTGAGTTACTGGAAATCGCAATTGCTTGATCCAACATGGTTGCCATTTCCGCACGGCGATTCGAGGCCTCGGTTGGCATCGCGCCGTGGGGAGCCACCTTCTTGTGGTTGCTGCTTTTGCTTTTCAGAACCGAAATTCGAGCTACATGGCAACTCATCTTCAACAGAGGGTTGAAGTGCATGGGATGCTTATTCCAGGAGACGGGCTTGGCTGGGAACATGATGTTTAGTATGATGTAGATGTATAGTAACAAAAAGATTGGTCGATTGAATTTATGAACAGAATGAGTGAGGTTTGTGGCCATGCTGACCTCCGAAGTTCGGCCAAAAGATCAGAGTAATAATTCTCCTTGTTCAAGGACGCCACATCGGGGCCAATTTGTCACTTTCCAATTATGGTCAACGACTTGATCGTTAAATGTCGCGATTTTTTGTGGTATTTCGCTAGCCTGTCAATCCCAATTTCGGAGTGATTTGGCTTTTTAGACGGATCCTTTTTGTTGTGAAAAAAACAGTTACGTCGCACAGTGCAGTCAATTGATCTCTCATTTGATGGCGCCGAAATATCAGTGGCACAAAGTTTCTCCCAACGAAGTCAAATCATCAAAACTTTTGTGCATTTGGCTTCGTTCGAGGGGGTTCTCCGAAAGACTTGGAATTTGGCGCTGAGAGAGAAACGAACGGATGGACGACACCCAGACCACATCCACGACTGCATGTCTCACGACTGAATGAATCAGCAAGCCAGCACAAAATGTTTGCATGTTCGAACTTCGAAGAGGTGAAACCTTCAATGTTGACAGTAGATCCCTGTTTGGAATCATCACCATTAATAGCAAGATTCACAACCGAACGACACGTGGATCTCTGTTTCAAACTACCTACTGTACTGTACCGTCGCAAAAAGAAAGTCACATATTCAAAAAGTGTTCCTCAACGCGTGCACGAAACCCAAATTTATTTGAAAACGAAACCAGTCACGGCTACACAGACGGATCGTTCACAACAACCCAACTCAACTCAACTCAACTCAACTCTTGCAACGACAAAACAACAATGTCATCGCAACACCAACAACAACGATCCGGGGAAACTGGTGAACAAGTAGATCCCATGGAGATTGACAGTGATTTAAACGACCACAATAATAGACATCCTCAAGACATTATTGAATTGGACGATGATTCCGATGATTCCGATTATTCTGACAATGATGACCGCAAAATTCCCAGTCGTGTCCGTGATCACAATCATGTAGCTTCCAACTCTCCTGGCAATATCTCTCAACGCCGCAGAAGACGACGGATTGGTTCCCAAACAGCACGAGGACCAGCTGTCATTGACCTGGTGGATTCTCCTCCTCCAGTGGCAAATGTAGCTTCGGCACCAACTACTGCTACGACTGACGACAACGGATGGGCCTGTCCTCAATGTACACTGCTCAATCCTACAACTCGCAATATTTGCGATGCCTGTCAATACCGCAATCCACACATTGCCCGACCACCCGACGCTTCCTTTCGAGATCAACTCATTTCGGACGATCCTCCTGGTTTTAGTTATTCTCAAACGCACTACGGAAGTCCTTTTGCAGCAGCAGGAACAGCAGCCACATCAAATCGCAATAATGCCCATGCCAACAATGCCTCACAAGGAGGCGCTGCGATGTTTGGCGGAGCTCTCTTGGGTGGCATGATGGGAGCTGCCGGATCCTTTATGAATGGACGACCCGTCCTGTCTTCAGCGGCCGAAGGTGCCATGACGGGTGCGGTCAGTGGAGCCTTTTTACACGAAGTCTTGCATTCACCTTCCTCACCAGCGTACCAACGGCAACGACGACGACGACAACAACAACAAGTTTCAGCCCAAGAGGAAATGGCGGCGGCGCGGTCGTCGGCTGCAATGGGACTCGCCGGATATCCTTCCATGAATACAGCGGCGGATTTCACCAATTCGTATGACGATGATAATAACAACAACAACACTATTGATGATATTGCGCCCCGTCCAACTCGTCGGCGTGCCAGACCAAGAGCGAGCTATCGAGTCTTTGAAGAACGGGATCCATTGACAGGTGCCAGTACCACTGTGGTCCAAGCTGGGGCTTCCACGACGAGGATTCTACGACCCACTACCCGTTCTTCAACGACACGAAGAAGTGGTGACGGCATGACTGATCCTCTCTTGAGCATGCTGGTGCATTCCTACCTCCAAGAGGGACGTCGTGGCGGCGGCGCTGGTGGTGCAGGGATGCCCAATCCGGATAACATGAATTACGACGAACTTTTGCAAGCCTTTGGAAATGGCAATGACAACATGGGAGCTTCCGATGGTGACATTCGAGCATTGCCTTGCAAAAAAATTGAGGACCCAGAAAAGGAACTCCCGGAAGTTTCGAGAGAGTGTTTGATTTGCTTGGAGGATTTCCAAAAGGACGAGACACGCATGACTTTGCCATGTTTGCATGGGTTTCACAAGGAGTGTGCACAAAAGTGGTTGCGAACCAATGGATCTTGTCCCATTTGCAAGCACAAGATATCAACAACTAGCTAGCTCGATAAACAAATAAGAACTACCTCCTCAATCATCAGCATTCATCGTCTATTCTAGTAACATTCTTCTTTTCTTTATTCCGACAAGACATCCTCGAAGCCTCCACCGGATTGGAGACCATAAAAGGCTTTTAGCTGTCCCAATGGACCATAGCCTCGTTCGGAATCCGACACGGAATCGGCAGAATTCAAGCTCTCTCCCATGACACCAAAGATTCCTGCCTTTTTCCGAATATCTTCGAGGCGTTTCTTGTTGGTGCCAAAGTCATTAAAGTCAGAGGAGGTCGCCAAGGAGCGGAAAAATACTACTTGCTTTTCTTCGTCTACCAAAAATTCCACTTCGTCAATGGTCCAAAACAAATCGCTTCTTTTGACTTGGGCTTTTAGATAATATTTGGCTTCCTCGTCATTTGCCGGTGGAAGAATTTGGCAGGTGGGGTCCGTCATGAGAGCACCCTTGATGCGGGCCAATACTTCAACTGAACTGTACTGAGAGGGATCATACGTCCAGGGGGGCAAGTACAAATCCAAATTCTTGACATTGGAAGTGGAAACACAAGGATATTTGCTGGACGTACTGCATTTTTCAATCGTTTTGGTCTTGGCGGCGGCGAGTGCTGGTGAAGGAGGAGGAGGAGGAGTCAATGAAGTAGTTATTTCCTCGTCGGCAAACGCCATATTGGGTCCTGCAATCATGACCGAGGCCATGGCAGCGGCTTGGAACCAAGATTGACGGGAATATAATAGGGGTTGCGTGGGTTGTTGCTGGTCGTTGTCACCATCATTCGTACTCAAAGAAAGGGGAGTGGTTGTATACTGTGAAAATTGGGAGTGACTGAATGCTCCTGTCTGGGCCACCAGTATCAGAAATGAGAGTTCCAAGAGCTTCATATTAGATCGATTCTTCCAATGGGCGGTTGTAAGGCAAACCTACTGTAAATGAGTTGGTTGGAAGATCCATCAAAGGGAAGGTGTTTTGTCAGAGCTGACGTACCCGCGAACACAGGGCGGACGGTTTTAGTCCGATCTGTCAATTTCACTCACAACGTCAGGCAGAAATCCATCATCGCAACGGGTCACTCACATCACATCAAACAACAACAACACACTACCCAACGATGAAGTCCTTCCAACTTGTATCCATGATAATGATCCTCCTAGCACAGCGAGCAACGTGTTTTGTGCAAAGAAGTCCTTTGAGCTTGTCTTCCAGCAAGAGTGTGTTCTCACAGGACCTTTCCATGGATGTGTCGGCCATCACTGAAGCTTCGCACTCGCTCTCCACCGCTGCGGCATCATCGGGAATGCTTCTTGCCGAAACTGAAGCTTGGGTGCAACCTACCGCACTTTTGCTTGGTCCATTTTTGAATTTTCTTTCTTTTGCAATGCTTTGCCGAGTGGTAGCGTCATGGTACCCTGAAACCAATTTGAATAAAGTCCCATGGATTTTCGTAGCATGGCCCACAGAACCACTTCTTCGGTTGGTCAAGGGCGTAGTTCCTCCTGCATTCGGCGTTGATATCACTCCCGTATTTTGGTTGGCTATTTTCACATTCTTGAACGAGATTCTCTTGGGGCAACAGGGTTTGTTGGTCATGAAGATGAAATATGGCATTTAGAAACTTGATATTTCTTGTATATACACTGCCATCGAAGCCTGGTCAAATCTGATAGAGCAAACGGAAAAGATACACAAGCATATTGGTGCAAAACTAAGCCAATTGTGCTAAGGACAAGAAATCAGATTGGGTCGTATTTCGACCAACAACAACAACATCAAGTTGAACTGTAAAGCAAACGCAGTATAATTCTAATTATTTTAGAATGGGAATATTAACCGGAGTATCTACCAACTAAACTGGGAGGAGGCTCTGTTTCCAATACTTGTGGATTTTCTTTCAAATATTCTCTGACAGTTGTCTTTCTATCGACTAGTACCGTCTCGTCTAGAAATGAATCCAAGCAAGTGTCTCCCATGGATTTGGACGCCAGATAGCAGTGACGGAGGTAGACTGCACATGGCCGAAGACCCGAGTCTCGCTCCCAACCCCATATTTTCTCTACACCATATTTTTTGTAATTGGCTTCGAAACGTTTTTGTCCCCAACGTTTCAAGTAGATGGAATCGGTTCCGGCAGCACAAAGAATTCCTTTGTTAACTACTTTCCCATCGGATTCCTCATAGGGAACCTCGATTATATCAAATTCTTCTTCACGTTCCAAAAAGGCAGGGCTAGGAAGACCATTTTCCATCATATCATCATTAGGGACTTCAAATACAGAGCAAATGAACCCTGGGTGACCCTCCAAATATTCTGTGGAGAGTGACGACATTTCTTTTGTTTCAAGGTTGGCAATTCCACGTTGGAAAAAGATGGAGGCTGGATGGCCAAAAACCCTTCGGTAATTCTTCACTCGGCCCAGCCGGAAATTTTTGAGATCGGGAAAGGTTGTTCTTGAGGACCGTTCCGACAGAAGGGAACCAAATCCCAGGATGGTGATCCAATCATCCTTCGAGTCCATTTTGTCCTGAATTTCAGACTGTTGACCTTTTCTTACTGTACTTGTAATCTGACTATAAGCAAATACCTTTGGGATTCGAGCTGCTGGATCGTAAAGCACAAGGGATATTACGAGTGCTGTAAGGATATCAAGCATCCTCGATTTCAAATGATTTTGTGTGTGGAATATATGATTGGGATAATTTGAAGGCCTACAATAGTACCACAGACTTAGATTATTTGTTATGGTTCTTCATCCACTCGTTCTTCATGTCCTTGAACCGCTCGCGGACAATGTGATTGTGTAGATGGTTATCTCTATCATACTGATGAACCACTGGACTCAGTCTTCCGTCCCAATTGTACACATCAGACGTCTCAGTGTCGTAGAACCCCCACTCCTCAAACTTCTTTGTTCGGAGTGCTCCAAGGTTGTTGATGATGCCCTTTCCTTGTTCCCAGACCACCAACCTTTTGATGGTTTCAGCGCTTGCAAGCTTGCTACTATAGTATATATAGTTGTGGAAACCTTTGGAATAGATATGAGATGCGCTATGCAGAAGAAAAGATGAAGTGCTTGCTCGACTGTGTGCTGATAACTTACCTTGATCAGCTCCAGTCATTTTGATATCCGTTTCATCCCATTCATTCACCATGGCTCGCAAGTATGTTTCGATGGCTACTTGCTCACCCATTGTAGATCCAGAACAGATTGTGGGCTTTTCTTGCAGCGCTTGAAGCGTTCCTTCGCCATAACTTCTTCGGAGCCAGTTGGCGTTCTTTGTCGATTTACCAAGTCTAGTAGCCTCCGTGTTCTCTCCAAAGAAGTATAAGAGTCCTCCTTGATTTCTCGGTACGTCAGCGAATGGATCCGTTTGGAAGTAGCTATCACGAGCATCAATGAGCATGATCCAAGAGTCTGGGTTGTATTCCTGAGCCCAAATCCAATACCATTCGTATCGAAGGGTCGCTACCACTCTGCCAATGCGTTTATCCTCGGCTTTTTCGATCACGTTACCGTCCTCATCTTTCCATCCATATACATCGTGCAGCTGGCACATTTGGAAAATATCGAGTTGACCATTCTTCTTGATACGTGGGCTGTGCTCACCTTTCGAAGTGAAACAACGCAATTCGTGAATGTAGACGACGACGTTATCCTGTTCCTTCAAGTAATCCAAAACGTGCGCCTCAAGTAGATTATAGTCTGCAATGGCCAATACGATATCCCCGTCAAAACCAGTCTGCCGCAGTGTATCAATAAAACAAATGTAATACGGCAATCCATACCCTTCTGCGTAGGCCATGACAACATCTTTATCAGGCTGCAGGTTGAGAGAATTGGGAAATGTTAGTGCAACTTCCACTAGCATTATCGACATCCTTTGTCACTTTCGAACTCACCCTGTGTCTTCCAATAGCAGGCTCTACAACCACTACAGCGGATTCATTCAAATATCGGGTCGGTTTCGGAAATATAGTAGGGCCGATGACTTCGATTTTCTTGGAACGTTCAAAGAGTTCCGATGTACTCTCTGTTCGAATAATTGGTTTGAATTCTTTTCCATTTACAATAGCTAGTGTCCCCCACAATAGGAGAGAAGGTATGAATCTCCTCATTCCGAATGATGAAGCGTTCTCCTGTTTCAGCGAAATGCGATTTGAAATTTGTTTAGGTTTTGTTTAGTTTCGTTGGTTTGGCATTTTTCGATCCCTTCGACCAAATTTGACCCCTTCGACTGTCCCACGTAGAAAACCCACGTATGCATTCCGCTTTTTCAAGAATTCATTGTTGCAAAGCTAATATTAATAAGAAGACCATATCATTCGTAGTGCAGTGACCTCTGCGAATTGTTAAAGCTTTTATACAATGTTTTCAGTGACTGCCGCACGTATTGTGCCTGGATTGGTCTCGCGCCGTTCGCTTGCTCCAGCAATGCAGCAAATTGCTTCGTTTAGATTTTCGGGTCACAGTACACGTAAGCAATCAAATGTTGCGGACGAACAACTCAAATCTCTGATGAAGAACAAAGCAAAGCCACCCGTAGAAGAAAAGCCAAAGGAGGAAAAGCCAATTGAATTCAACGAGACTCTAATTCGAAAGGAGGAAACTTTTCCTGTAGATGCTGCCCTCATTAATCAATTTGCTCCAAAGATTAAGGTAATTGGTGTTGGAGGTGCCGGTGGAAATGCTCTGAATAACATGGTCACGAACAAATTGAAGGGGGTCGAGTTCGCTGCACTCAATACTGATGCACAGCACCTGGCCACCAGTAGAGCTGACACCAAAATCCAAATTGGTGCTGAATTGACAAAAGGTCTTGGTTGTGGCGCCAATCCAGATGCTGGCCGTATGGCAGCGGAAGAATCTAGAGAAGAAATCAAGAAAGCTGTTGAGGGTTCTCACTTGGTCTTCATTACCGCTGGTATGGGAGGCGGAACAGGGACAGGAGCTGCTCCAGTGATTGCTGATATCTGTTATGAAATGGATATCATGACTATTGGAGTTGTCACCATGCCATTCAACTTTGAAGGAACTCATCGAAGAAGATTGGCTTTGGAGGGCATTGACCGTCTTGCTGAAGTCGTAGACACTTTGATTGTAATTCCCAACCAAAATCTCTTTGAAATTTCTGGACCAGAAACAACCTTTGCTGACGCATTCCAGATGGCAGACGACGTTCTTTTGGGAGGTGTGAAGACCGTCTCAGAACTGATGACATCGCCTGGAATCATCAACCTCGATTTCGCTGATGTCAGATCAGTAATGTCAGATATGGGAAACGCCATCATGGGTACTGGCGTATCGGATGATCCAGAAGACAGGGCGATAAAAGCAGCAGAGCAAGCTTTGGGAAATCCTCTGCTTGGTTTATCCCTTGACATTTCTTCCGCCAAGGGAGTCCTTGTTAATATTTCGGGTGGATCAGATATGACGCTTTATGAGGTCGACCGAGCAGCACAGCTCATCACAGGCAAAGTAGCAGACGAAAATGCCAATATTATCTTTGGCAGTACACATGACAAATCGCTAGAGGGCAAGATTCGGGTTAGCCTTGTTGCTACAGGCATTGACCGCCTTGACTATTATTGAGAATTTTAAAATAGCCAAAGTTGCTTTTTGCATTATATGGGCCGCAACTCTAGGCCTATCCCGTTTATTATTCACACTAAAGTTATTTTACAACAGCAACTACCGATACGTGCACTTTTATTGTCACAGCTATTTCTAATGTTATGCATCGGCTACCGACAAATTCAAGAAGCGGGTGCTCTCGCCAGTTCCAAAATTCGCTCGTTCCGTAGAGGTTGCTTCGACAGTAATCCATGGGGTGTTGTGCTTCACGTCAACTTTTCGAAAAAGACCAAACCTGAATTTCTCGGTCATTCTCATGTGAACGCTTCCGCCCGAAGCGAAAAGATTCAGTTCGATTGGAATGATTTGGTTTTGAGTTATGGGCATTACCAAGAGATCAGAGCTTCCCAAAAGAGAGTTCAATCGGAAATAGGGATCTGCTGAAGCGGTAGAAGGGGCCATCTTTGGAATCAAGGTTTTGTACACGGCCCGGTGATGCACGTTGACGCTGTTGTCGTCGCACATGCGATCACAAAACATTTTCAACATTGCGAGTCCGTTTCTTGTGTCTTTGCCGCTTTCACCCTGTTGCAAAAATTGCAAGCCATTAACATCAAGTGTGGTATGAGTGATAATTTCAGTTTCTAGATCAAAACTGGAATATTCGCTTTGATCAGCGACATCGAGCTCAAGGGATGTAAGAAAAGTAGCTTCTTCCAAACTTCGCAGAACCATTTTCTTGTCATTCAAACGAGAGTATCGAACAAGATTCGTTTGAAGTTTTCTAATCTTCTGCTCTCGAACATCCTCCCTGGAGACGAAATCGCGCGATGGAGAACCCAATACAAACGCGATGGACGCTGGGCTGCTTGGAACGAGAGGAGCTGCTGTTGCCATCTTCACCGCACTGTCTCTGAATATGTCGGTGTCCACCTGAAAATGTGTCGCTAAAACACAGAAAACAAAATACGCGTGCCGGCCATGACACGGCTTGATCGCTGAAATGCATGGAATAATTTAGTCCCTATTAGCTAGTCACCTCATCCTTGTGTACCGGTAGTCGTACCTTGGCTGTTTGTCATGAGTGACAGGGTACAAAGGAATTGAATACAATCATGATAGTCAAATTGGCATAGTCCTATAGTGATAAGAGCTGTAATCATATATTTGACTGAGCAAAACTTTTTGTGTAGGATTAGTTGGTACTTATTTCTTGATGCCTGTCTTGGACAATAGCAAGTTGACTTTTGCCTTGATGAAATCAATGACTTTCTTAATTTCAGCCAGTAATAGATCTGAATTGACATGGAAAATCTTTTCTTGGTAAATTGCAAGGTCTTGGTTGACCAGGAACAAGTCACCGGCAAGCTTCGCACTCTCTTCACTTGATGACGCCAAGGATGACTTGATTTGTGCAATCTGGTGCCTCAACGATCCTACGGTATCGTCACATTCTCTCCTACTGGCGCTCACACCCTCAATATCTCGCTGAAGCCTAGAAGCAACATCGTCCTTTTCTCTGTTGGCATCCGCCAGTTGTTGTTCAGCTCGTCTAAGCGCTTCTTGCAAGTTGTTGATTTGCGCCCATAGGTTCTCTTTGTCGACATTTGCGATCGATGCAGCAGCAGCAAGTCTTTCGGAACAAACCTCATCGCAATTTGGTGCAGGAATCTCATCTGATGGTTCTTCCACTTGTTGCTCGGACGGGGCATCAACCATGTGGTCCTCTTGTGCTGCGGCAAAGGTCAAGGGGGATGTGCTAGCTCGCCATAAGAGGAGAGAGATGAGAAGTTGAGCAATTTTCATTATATAACAGCTTTGAGGAAGCTTGCTGTACCGTAGTGTAGTGTTGGGTCGTCGTGGGGTTGTGACATCAGAGAGGTCCATTGGACGTTGGAGACATCGGATTCTAGCTAGAAACATCACCGATACGGCAAACGGACAGGCTTCAACTTGGCACTCCGCTAGTACCTGTAAACTCCACTCATTACAGTATGATACTGGTGTCTCTTCCGACCGGTATACTAGTACGAGCACCGCAGTCTCTTGTTTCAAGCAGTCTTGTTCTAGGAATCAGAATGACGTTGCTGCACTCCGCCAGTATCTGTAAACTCCAACCATTTTGATATTGGTGTCTCTACCTACTAGGAATACGAGTACCGTAGTCTCTTCTTGTTTCAAGCAGTTTTTGTTCTAGGAATCACAATGATGTTGCTATGTTGCTACGAAATTGAGGTTCATTGCTAAAAGGAATGAACTGCATGTACACCTGGTCTGGATGTAGAACAGATGATAAACTTTGCGACTTCTTGTGACTGTGTGTTGCACTATTGCAAATTGCAGATATCATTTGCAAGACTGAATCAGCCGAAGTTTCCATCACTGCTTCTAGTATAGACGCTAGTACAGGATTCGCTCTCAAGATCAATACCAATTGGTACTTCTCGGCTACTTGGTCTCTTTTCCAGCTGTAGCATCAGCCCGTCTACAATCAAATCATCCAGCTCTAGACTAACTTCTTGGTTGGTACCACGCTGTACTATTTGTGCAGTGCTTTCTTCAGTGCTTTGTCGATTCCGTGGTCGATGCTCGATTGCAAAGTTGTCGGTGCTTGGCAGGTCTTCGACGTCATTGACACTCGGGCAGCTCCAAGCGTCTGAATTACCAATGATACTACCAGCGCCTTCTTCTTCCACTTCGTCACTATGACTCCATGAGTCGTTTTCCGTGTAGATGCTACCATCGCTGGAAGTGACTGCAGAAACATTGTCCTGACGAATACAATCTTCCATGTTTGGCGCCCGGAAGACGACCGGATCCAGGTCTATGCGGTAGGGTGGCTCGCTCTCAAAACTCGAGTCACTATGAATTATGGAAGGCAAACCATAGGTACCTTGAGAGAAAACTGATGGGTCATCCGGCAAGGAAGAGTTTCCATCCACTTCTGTGCGATCATCGTCACTGAGTGCAAGATAGTTGTTGCGGCATAATGGGCACTCATCATTTGACTTGAGCCATTCCACCATGCAACCTTTATGAAAGTGATGATTGCACCGTTTGTTGTGGGACCAACAAATCGCATCACCATCGGCATAATCCAATAGACAAATTGCACATTGCGGTCTTCCGGCTGCCATTGAATCGCCAGATTCTTTTGTGTCTTCGCCACTAATCGACCGGCATATGAATAAGTCACTCTCCTTGTCGTTTTCTTCTGAGTCATCTTTGCTCTCATCTTGGACCATACTGACCCTCTTTTCAGTTTTAAAAGTTGTGAGTACACGAGCACGTTGCAACAACGACGGGCAAAAAGATGAAAGATTTACCTGTGAAATTAGAATATTCGCAATGAATTCCTTCCTTGCCTGTGTCGATAGGGATATTGTGGATGACTGAACTTCTGAAGAACGTATTTCTGCCAGAAATTGTTCGATTTCAAGCTGTTCTTCAAGATTTGCGAGCTCATCTAGATCGCTGAACCCATCTGCTGAGCTTTCTTCTGGCAGGTTTCTTTGATTTGAAGCTCCTTGTCCCTCATTTCGAGTTGCTCTGTTCTGTTCTGTACTTCGTTTTCTTAACTTTTTCAATCTGCTGCTGATTTTTAGAAGGCTTATCGCATTCATCAGATGTGGCGAAGATGTGAATCAAACAAAAACACAATCCATCAAATGCAACAATGCATGCATCGAACAAAAAAGAGACAGTATTGATTGTTAGCGATGATCTCGGGTCTCAGTGATGTCCTGTGTACACTCAAAACATACCATACCAAAATAAGAAACACAAATCCAAGCCCGAACGCTACGCCAATCCACCACATGTATTCTCTTTCTTGTCCTGTCGCTTCCCACATACTACTGAAATGCACACGATTCCAGTCAATATCCTCCCTGTTGCATTGAAGTGTGAATTTCAACAAATTCAGATCTCTCGTTAAAATTTGCCTTTCGCTTCAAGATGTGTGAAGGTCAGATCTCATGTAAAGATTTTGTTCCGTTCGACGTTGAGACTTATTTGATATGATACAGTAGGTATAGTCAGATTTTGTGGGTTACAGGTTGTGGTCGGAGAAGTCGACTGGTCAATGCGCAAAATATTTTTATGCGAGATATTGCCAACAAAAACAAATTGCAATGATGATCCTAAAAATGCGGCCCCTCCTCACTCTATTCGTGTCCATTTTTATCCTACTATTGTCTTTCTTTACTTTGTCGAATGCTTTGTTCTTTCCACAGGTGAGGAGGGTAATGTCGGGTATCTCTAAAATGCGTGTTCTAAGCTTTCCACTCACAGAGTGCTTTTTCGAATCTTCATGTCAAGTTTGACACGGTGGCAGACATTCCAAAAGACTACTTTCAGCAGCAGAAAACAATATTTGGCGAAGTCGCTCGGGTAATCGATGGGGATACTATTCGAATTGCACACTGTCGGTCTCGTTTTTCGTGTCCCAAAATTGACATAAATCAGAAGAAGATTTTCGACAAGACAATGTCCATTCGAATTTATGGTGTCGATGCTCCCGAACTTCAAAAGCGGAAATCGGACCCTCCGTCTCAACCTTTTGCGGAAGAATCAAAGCAGCTGGCTTCTGAACTCGTGCTAGGAAAGAAGGTCACAGTTAAATTGCTCCGTCGAGATCAATATGGCCGAGCAGTTGCGAAGGTACAGACTCCCAGACGCTTCAACAGTTTTCCACCATTTGTCAAGAAAGATTTATCTATAGAACTCACAAAGAGAGGTCTAGCCACGCTGTATACTGGAGGTGGAGCAGAATATGACGGAAATCGTGCACTGTTGGAATCATTGGAGGATAAAGCGAAGAAAAGTCGGAGAGGCGTTTGGTCTAGCGACAACTATGTTTCCCCAGCAGAATTTAAGAAGACGCAAAAGCTATCAAAGCAGCAAGTAAAGAAATAGAAATCAATTTCATGTTTAGTATGTAGTTTTAGTAACAAGAATGATGTATTTTATGACTCCGTCGACCAATTTTGCGGGTTTTGCCGTAAGTCGGAGAAGTCGATTGAGCAAAGCTCTCAAATAATGTGCTTGTTCGCATTCTGAAAAAGTCGGTGCATCCATCACCTTGATTCTATAAAAAAATGCAGTCACCACTTACTTGTCTCTTATCCATCTTTGTTGTACTCGTGTCAATATCTGTTGCGTCGACTTTGTTATTCCCACAGGTGAGGAGAATAATGTTGCCTATCTCAGATATACGTGTTCCGTCATATCCTCCTCTCACAGTTTGTTTGTTTCATCGCATCTTGTTCATGTCAAGTTTGACACTGTCGCAGACATTCCAAAAGACTACTTTCAGCAGCAGAAGACAATATTTGGCAAAGTTCTGCGGGTCATTGATGGGGACACTATCAGGATTGCACACTGTCCGTCTCGCTTTTCGTGTCCAAAAAACATTGACTACCATCATATGAAGACTCTGTCCATTCGGATTTATGGCGTTGATGCTCCCGAGCTTCAAAAACGAAATGCATATCCTCTGTCTCAACCTTTCGCGGAAGAAGCAAAGCAACTGACTTCTGACCTTGTGATAGGAAGGAAGGTAAGAGTTAAGCTACTCCGTAGGGACCAGTACGGCAGAGCAGTTGCGAAGGTACTGGTACAAACTTCCAAACGCTTCTCTTTTCCACCATTTGCGAAGAAAGATGTGTCTATAGAACTCACAAAGAGAGGTCTAGCAACGCTGTATACTGGGGGAGGTGCAGAATATGACGGAAATCGTGCACTATTAGAATCACTAGAGGGTAAAGCAAAGAAAAGCCGGGTGGGCGTTTGGTCTAACAATAACTATGTTTCCCCAGCAGAGTTCAAAAGGATGCAATAGTGAAGACCTGCAGTATGGTACTGTACCTACTATTTTCAAGTGTTTAGTTTAGGTGTCAAGAAAATCATATGATATGTATCATACCGGTACCCGTATCATATGATCAAGAAAACCAACCAATGTCTGACTCAATCGACCCACTTTGTGCTACGTCATCCGATGACTCAAGAATCTTGGCGGGTCGGAATACTTTGGAAGATCCTGCCCATCACACACATCACTTTCGCACAACGGACGTTGAGAGCAGTCGTCGACATCATGTCGCTTTTTCAATACAGTTTGAACGATGTTGTCACCCTTGTGACATCAAGGTTGACAGACTTGGCAATGCCAATTGTCTACATGGGCATTGTACCCGACTTTTTGATCCGTTTGGGAATCCGCTACCGTTTGCAGGACACTCTCATCACCCTACGCGCCAAGGATGCTGAGGATGAAATGGAGGCAAAGATGAAAACCATCGAAGCGTTGAAGACAAACCCTACCATTGCCATCGCTACTGATGAGGCTAATGATCAGCATTATGAAGTCCCCGCCGAGTTCTACGACCTTTGTCTTGGACCAAGAAAGAAGTATTCGTCTGGCTACTGGCCAAGCCGTAAGACTACCTTCGAAGAGAGTGAGGAAATCATGCTCGACATGTACTGCAAACGTGCAGGCGTTAAAGATGGAATGAAGATTGTAGATATTGGATGTGGATGGGGAAGTTTGACCCTATACCTTTGTGAGAAAGTATGTATTGTTTTTCTGAGTTCTAATTCAGTTTCGTCGTTGCACTCACAACATGTCGAAATTTTGCACAAATCATTACAGTTTCCTAACGCCAAGATTACCAGTATTTCCAACAGTAATTCTCAACGTGAATTCATTTATGCCGATGCCAAGAGACGAGGATTGAACTGGCAAAACATCAACATCGTCACATGCAACATTAGTGACGACAAGGGTGCTTTGGATGTCGTCAAGGATAATGATCTTGCGATGACTATTGAGATGTGAGTATGTATTGTGTCACAGTATTTCATGGGAAATAGCGTGGCTGACATTTGTGATAACGGCTCGCAGGTTTGAACACATGAAGAACTACTCCATGCTTTTGAAGAAGGTTTACGGTTTCTTGAAACCCAAAGGAAAGTTGTTTGTCCACATTTTCACACACAAGGATTTCACATACAATTTTGAGGACGGCTGGATGGCTGATAACTTTTTCACGGGTGGAACCATGCCAAGTGATGACATGCTGGTAAGTTTTGCTAGAGCCATTATATGTTGGACTTGGTCGTCGGCATTAATGAACTCGTTGATCTCACATCGGCTCAACTCTCGTTTCGCAGCTTTACTTTTGCCAAGACTTTTCTATTATGAATCACTGGCGTGTCAATGGAACGCATTATGAGAAGACCTCTAACGGATGGTAAGTCATGGTTCATGGCTTTGTTGGTCGAATGGTTAGCTTCGAAGAACCAACTAATCCGAAATTGTCTCCCGTCTAGGCTCGACTATTTGGACAAGAACTGGAAGAATGGAAAGCTTCAACCTGTGTTGGCAAAGGCCTATGGGGAAGGAAAAGAGAAATTTTGGTACATCAACTGGCGTTTGTTCTTCTTGGCTTGTGCCGAATTGTGGGGCTACAAGCGAGGACAAGAATGGATCGTCTCCCACTATTTGTTCGAACGCAAGTAGTAAGATAGCTCATGCTAATACAAGCCTGCTGCTGAGTGTAACGCAATGTCAGTACTCTTCCTTCACTGTCGACATTTCATGGATCGTGCTTATTGAACGAATTACTCATGCTAATAGCAGCCTGCAAACTGTAGTTCAATGTCAGTACTGTACCAATACCAATACCAATACCAGTCAGTAGTATCCCTCATCTCTTCGCATTTCATGAAACGCGCATATTTCGCGCGCCGTAACATCCATTCGAACTCATCAACAAAATGAACCAAAAATGATACGTTGACTCTTTTGCTGTATCTGGAAGTTGAACTCATACACAAAACAACATTTCTGGGCAGTACTTAGGGAAGTTAGTCAAGCACTTTCACAAAACTACAAATGGGAAAGAAAAGCAAAAGAGTTCGAACGAAACAAGAAACTGAAGCCACGATGACAGGAGAACTCAAAAAAGAAGACCAGTACGCGCTTCACAAGAAAGAGTTTGACAGAATCATCGCCAAATATAAGCTTGATGACCCCAAGAAGGCTGAAGGTATCGCGGAATTGCTCACCAACCAAGATAGTGGTGTGTCGGCGCCAGCTTTTGCGGAAAAGTTTGGTATGCAAGTTGAAGAAGCAGTCGTCTTTTTGGAATGGATCAAAGGTGAGTATCTGATACCAAAATCTTCGTAGTCTTTTCCCACAACATATCCCCACTGATTTCGTTTTTCGTATCCTTGTCAGTGGGAATAAAATTCAAGGAAGAAGCGATAGATACCGCCAAGAAAGCAGGGCTCAGCAAATCGTCCTAATCGCTTTTATAGAATTGCTAGAATACATTTTAAAAAACTGTTTCAATTTCGAACTCGTGCCTTCATGTTGTGGCTCACTTGCAGTCCTGTGGGTTGCTACTGATGGCCGTTCGTGTTTTTGTTGATGGCAGCCATTGACTAACAAATGCAAAGCCTTTTGGGCGGCGGCGGTACACTAGAACGATGGAACCGGGAGACACTCCCACTCAAACAAGAATAAAGCTCAATCCGTAGCGCATATAACGTTCCAGCAGTCTTCTGGGAATATTGTAAGATGTCAGATATCAGTTCGGTACCTCGTACCAGGTGCCGGTCGGTACCTGGCACCGTAGAAATGTAGGAATGAACGTTGCACACCAGATCACGACTCATAGGAATCGTTTGGAGATTCTTACTTCTTACACGAACAAAATGCGTCCGTTAAAAAGTGGATTTGAATTGGAAAAAAGAGAGCGAGATGACCGGTTCAATGCATTTTGAAACCATCGGTAACCCACAGGTCGACGAAAGTTAGGTGCAGCTGTTCAGCTCCAACATTCCAAAATGATACGCTCTCGTATCGCATCCCTTCGCAACACATTGTCCCCGCTGTGCCGTGGAGTACCGAAATCTCCAGCTGGCCGAAGTCTTCGAATTGCTCAGAAGCCAGCAACTTCGTGTCTGTCAACACTGGCGGCATCTGAGGATAGAGTAAGATTCTCGGCTGTACCATTTCTTGCAGCCACAATTCTTTCAGCAGTTGTTGTGAAATCGTTTGAGGAAGACAAAGCAGACTGCTGTGGGATCATTGGTGTTGTCGGATCTGCTGAGCATGCAGATGCCCGAGAATTCCTCTTGGATGGTTTGACAATCTTGAAGAACCGTGGATACGATAGTGCTGGGATCGCTACAGTTCCTCATGGAGGTGGAGAGATTGAGGTTGCTAAGTATGCTTCGGACGGCGACAAGGCAGATTCCATCGAATTGGTCAAGAAGAACACAGTTTCCCAAGGCCACACCCTTGGAATTGCTCACACCCGTTGGGCGACCCATGGAGGAAAGACTGATGAAAATGCCCATCCACACACTGATTCTTCCGGAAAGATTGCTTTGGTACACAATGGAACCTTAACGAACTCCAACGAACTTCGAAGAGAACTTCAAGCTGAGGGACACAAATTTACCTCTGAAACTGATACTGAAGTCATTGTCAAGCTCATTGGCAAGTTTTACGCCAAAGGAGATCTATCCTTGAAAGAAGCTACAGAACAGGCATTGAAGTTGTGTGATGGATCATGGGGATTGGGAATTATTTGCTCAGATAACCCAGATGAGCTTGTTGTCGCTTGCAATGGTTCTCCTCTTGTCATTGGTATTTCCAGCGACCGTACCTTCATTGCATCTGAAACTTCTGCCTTCAACAGATACACCAAGAACTTTATTAGTATGAAGGACGGCGAAATCGGAGTCTTGCATGCTGATGGCCGCACTTTGGATCTTGGTCGAGCACAAATCGCTCCTGACCAAGAAGTGAAGCTTTCGCCGGCCCCATTTCCACATTGGACTTTAAAGGAATGCATGGAACAACCTGAAGCCATTGCACGTGCACTTGGCTTTGGAGGTCGATTGTCTCCACAACGAGTTCTACTCGGTGGTCTCGACAAGAACGAAGAGCAGATGAAGAGCATCAAGCACATGACCCTCAGCGCTTGTGGAACATCCCTGAATGCTTCGCGATATGGGGAACGAATCATGAAGCACTTGGGATCTTTCGATTCTGTCAATTCGATTGATGCCGCAGAAACAGAGACGAAGGACTTTCCGTGCATGTCCAACATCAACTCCACTGGTCTTATTGTCGTCTCTCAATCTGGTGAAACCAAGGATGTACAACGTGTCGTTACCAATGCCATGAGCAAGGGAGTAACTGTCTTGAGTGTTGTCAATTCAGTTGGTAGTTTGATTGCCCGAACCACCAAACTTGGTGTTTATTGCAACGCAGGAAGAGAGAATGCTGTTGCCAGTACAAAGGCATTCACAACTCAAGTTACTGTGTTGTCATTGATTGCACTTTGGTTCAAAGAAATGAGAGATCGCATAGCTGGTCGGGGTCCAAGTCTTGAAGCACAAAGACTGAAGGAATCTTTGATGCGCCTACCAATCGCTTTTGGTATGGCTCTGAAGACACATGATCAATGCAAGAGAATTGCAGAGAGGCTGAAGGATAAGGAGCATTGCTTTGTCTTGGGAAAAGGTAAGACTTCAATGAATTCATGGCATTTTTGGAGCGAATCATTTCTCATTAAATCTATTCTGTTAGGCTACGCTGAACCAGTAGCAATGGAGGGAGCTCTAAAGATCAAGGAAATGTGTTATCTTCACGCTGAGGGATACAGTGGTGGTGCATTGAAGCATGGACCTTTTGCTCTTATTGAAGATTCCACGGGAAGGTTCGGTGCAACACCAATCATCATGTTCATCCTTGACGATCATCATGCTCATCATATGAGAACAGCTGCTGAAGAAGTCAAGGCACGGGGTGCTGAGCTCATCATTATTACTGACAAGCGTGCGCTTGCTCGAGATTTGGACGATGACCCAATTGTGATTCCTCAGAATGGCCCAATGACAGCTCTTTGTGGCGTGCTTCCTCTGCAACTCATTGCATATGAACTCGCTATGTTGCGGTAAGTATCGTGATTGGAAAGATTGCTTCAGCCCGCCGCCGCCGCCCCTCTTTCTCACCTTTTTTCTTTAGTGGAATTAACCCAGACACACCACGCAACTTGGCAAAGGCTGTCACTGTTGACTAGATGACTAGATGTGACAGTCATATTTTGGCAGCACATTATTTTTGATCTCATTTGTTGCTAAAAGGAAAACTATTTCTAAAATAAAGAATACATTCTTGAACACCATACCTAAAGGATACGATGAGTGCACTTGCTGTCAGTGCAGACTTTCGTCCTATCTCCGCCGCTGGCTAGCCATTAGCTCTTCATCACTTGGCTCAAACAACGAGGTAAACGAAGTAGCAGCATCTTGGGTGACTTTGCCTGCCTCTGCAAGATTCCTAAACCAGGTTGGAATTTCTTGATCTTCAATACCTAATCGGACGCAAGCGTCATGTGCAAATGTACAGCAATTTTTTCGCAATAGATCATACTCTTTCCCCATATACTCACTTGCCATGCCTTGCAGGATTCCCCTTGCATTTTGCTTTGACCTCCTGCCTCCCGTGAAAAGTGGTTTTCTGTCTCCAAAGTCGATGGTGGTTCTATATTGGAATCCAGGAGCAGTCATCGGAGCACATGTAAAGACTCCAGTGATGCCTTCGTATTCATTAGCTCCAAAGGCATATTCAATTCCGTTTACCTCAACACCCACATGGTAGGCTCCTGTTCCGAGTGTATGTAGTCCAGAGTTTAGGGTGTTAAAAATTTGACCGACTGGTAACTCAAACACACCAAATAGGGGAACGACAGCACTTTCAACAATCAAATCATATACATGCAAACGAATGCGGTTTGTTGAGACTAAATCTTGCTCTCTGACTTCATATCGTGATCGATGATTGCCAGTCGACGAACTGTCCAGCTTTTCCCGTTCTTCTTGAAGTGCACGAAGCTGAAGCCTCTCAATCATCGATGGACCTTTTGTTGATGTTGCCTTCGGCGATGCATTCACTATTGTCTCGGATGTGTATGTTACCACACTTGCGCCTTCACGGGCATTTATCTTTCTCATCGTGTCTATGGTGCAAAAGAACGAAAATTGTGATTCAAACGTATAGTATTGAATTCCAAACTGATGCTTCTCCTGTTTTGATGGCCGTTTCACTGCATGCTACTTAACAAATCATGCGTTACGCAATATTACATGGGGGAACGAGCGACGCTGGCTTGAATACTTAGAGCAAAAATCGCTTGTAAAAAATCTTAACTCCCACGAAGAGTATAAGCTCCCACGTGTATTTCGTTGGCCTAAAAAATTATCGACTCCGCAAACGCATGAGTATCAATAGACACAAGTGACTTTAGTCCTACTTCAGATATCCTGGTTGTTTTTATTTTTAAAGTATTTTTTTATGACCCATCGGTAAATAAGTTCTACGACCGTCTTGCAAAAGCCTTTTGCCAGGATCTGGCAGTAGTACTCCTCGTTGTCGAGAAGTGTGGATTGCGAATTCAAGAACCCACTGTTGTCGCGTATGTATCTTCGGACTTCGACCAACCACTAGAACCAATTCCAAGTCAGTAGATTTTCGTCATACTCTTACATCTTCAATCTACCGGTACCATACTCGATTGCCTCTTCATCGTGCCTCCTTTGAAGGCATCCTCATATAACCCGCCTAAATCGATCTCATCCATTCATTGCATCCAAAGCAAGCAGAATTTGATCAAAAGAAGGTCGTTGTGCCGGATCTTTTTTTGTGCAGGACTTGATCAGTGCATGGAGTTGTGGAGGACACCACTTTGGAATGTCTGGTCGTTTGTCACGATTCAACACAGCGAGTGCACATTGAATTGGACTCATGCCATCATATGGGCATTCTCGTGAAAGTAACTCCCAAACAATGATGCCGTAGCTGTAGACATCTGCCTTTTCATTGTAACTCAGGTTTGCTAGAACCTCCGGTGCCATCCATTGCACTGTCCCACAGTTCCCGGTCATGCTTCTTTCTTGTGCTTTTATTCGACTCAATCCAAAATCGCATACTTTCGCGTTGTAACTTTCATCCAGAAGAAGGTTTGCACTCTTCAAATCACGATGGAGCACTGGTGGGCTACCACTATGGAGATACACCATTCCTCTAGCTGCTCCAGAAGCAACTCGCTTGGCAAGCTCCCAGGGCCATGTTCCTCTAGGAATAAGTGGCGCAGTGTGAGGAGACTGCATCATGCTGTCTGCCCTGGGAGGAGTACCGATTTCACCCGGGAGGTACAATCCTATTGGCCAAGATCCTGCCGGTGTTCCATCCGATGGCACGTAGGGTGGCGTCAACGGTAATCGAAGAGCGTCCCACACAGATCCGTTGGCAGCAAGCTCTGTTATTATGGCACGATTTGGAGGATGCACACAAGCTCCCATGTACAGACAAATGTTTGGATGTCGCATACCCTATCAAAAAGAGGGAGGAATGAGAAAATAGGCATGGAAATTAAAAAAGATTCGCCATCCGAACTTGCCTTTAGCAGATTGATTTCGGCCTTGAACTCTTCGAGAATTGACTTGGCAACGTGCTGGTTCTGTGCTCCTCCGGTCAACACCTTTACGGCAACAGGAGTCCCTCTCCAGGAGGCTCTCCAAACTTGACCAAATCCTCCACCGCCAATTACTTCGACCAACTTGAGCTCGTCAAAATGAATGTAACCTTGCAATGATGCTGTCGCATTCGTGGCGTTGGTCAACTTCTTGCGCTTGTGAACGATACTCTTGCGAGGATCGCCACTTGGAATGGAAACGTCGGAGCTACCGTCCGATGGGTACGCCTCAGACTCGTCTTGGTTGAAGGATTGGTAGAAGTCGTCCTCCCCGTCGCGTTCTGAAATATGTTGACTCATTTGTTTCCAATGCTCTGAACTTCCGGTCTCCATTTGAACTAGTCGTAAATCCTCCAGCGACATGGAATGCGGCGGTGGCGCTGCGGCAGGCCGAGGCGCTAGCAGTCGATTTGCATGTGGAGGGTGCTTGCTGTGTTTGCTTGCATCCAGTGATGGAATAAAGGGAATGATACGGGGTTCTCTTCCAGGCGTGTGCAATGATGGCGGCATCATAGCAGCATCGAATCCTGGCGTATTATCTCCTGGGACGTCAATTGTCTTTTTCACATTGGCCATTAGTGGGGTTGCTGCGGATCTTGCTGGTGTCATTGGAACTTGCAGTCGACCACTGCCATGAGAGCTTTCCAAGCCCAAATCATAAGATCCCGCGGGATGAATCTGATTGAAATCCATGGAACTATCCGACGTGTAGTTACCAGACTGTTTTACATCGCCTGTCAGTGTTTCAAAAGAAGAGAAATTGGACGAAAGCGGTCGCACGACAGCCGAAGTAGTTCCAGCCGGACGCGGTAGTTCTGCATTGTGCGAGCTGCCCTGTCGTACATGGCTATGCGAGGAACTTCCAGTGAAACTTTGAAGGTGAGCCGTTGGCATTAGTGTTTTGGCAGCACTCGGGGATCCCAACAGTCCTGGAGTCTCCCTTCCACTTCCACTGATCGAAGTGGGAGTGTCAAACGGATGCAAAGTCGTCCGGCGTATGGGAGATGGCCCTTGGCTGAATGAATTCAGGGGACTGGCTCCTCCTCTTCGGTGAACTCCAGTTGGAGTCAAGTCCATCATGTTAGCCGCAGGACTACGGTAGGCTGATAGCTGCCCTTGCTGCGGCATGTAGTAGTTGCTGGCTCCGATGTAGCCACCAGAGACCTTTGGTGAGATGCTGTCCTGTTCCTTGAAAGAGCTCCTCCGTCTTCGATGTTCATCGTGAGAGGAGGAGTGAATGGACGCTGCAACAGCAGGTTCGTCGTAATAGTGTGGATAGTAGGTCTCCTGTTGATTATCATAGAAATCATACTCATTCTCGTGTGCCAGATAATTGCTCTTCAGAATCTCTTCTTCGTCATCGCTCCATTCATCTGTCTTCTTTTTGCGTGTTCGATACATTCTCCGTTGCCGTCGTCGATATTTGGAATTCGGCTCATTGGAAGAATCGGACACCAGGTGCAATAACAGGGCAGTGATGATGATTAAGAAACCCAGTATGGCATAGGGAGAGAAGGGCAAGAACCCAAAGTTGGATGCTTTGACCATGTCTGGATCCTCACTTCCAAAGACATCCCTCCATTGATCGGTTGCGGCTAGTGGTTCTTCCAACCGTACCAAGCGCTCATTGCGAGTCCGTATGTATCGTTCTCTCCTTAAGTTGTTGTTGCCATTGTTCCCCCGTTCTTTGTTTTGCAATCTCAGCTCATCATGCGGCTGTTTCATAGAGCTATGTACGTGTCCATCACCAATCCCCGTGATGAAGTGCGGCGTCCTTGGCCTCTTTCCCATGATAATAATCTATAGTACAGTTCACGAATATAAAATGAATTTTCCACGCTCGGAACTGAGTGTCAGTTTCCTAGGAAGCGCTTCACCACAAATAATGATGTTTGTCAATCGTCTTCAACGCAACAATTGTAAATCAGTTGACTGGTCAGGCAATCGGCATGCTCACTGCAGGAATAAACGAGCAAAGAGGTCTTTAGATGGTAATGTTGTTGATGATGTCAACCACGACAAGAAAAAGGTACGTTGGCTATACAGGCGGTTTGGTACCGGTACGCGAGATCTACCTCCGGGCGCTTTGAAGATATTTCTCATACTCGTGACCGTTTAAACACGAGTTTCACTGGAAAATTGGGGGGCTCAATCAACCTAAAGCAAGCACTCAGTATGTTGTTAGGATCCAAACTGAATCTTGCCAGTAGAAACCTGATGATTTTTTCTTTGAACTCCATACTGCTAAAGTTGTTTGCCAAGGAGCTTAGGAGGTAGTTAGTCCGCCAATTGTCTTCGTGTTTGACTACTTGGAACGGGGTTTCCTCCATCAGTCATTTTGTTCCTGTCATTTTGGTCGCAAACTCACAGATGCCTCCTCCCAACGTTCGCTTCTGCCGATGTTGAAACGACATCTCTGATGCTTCCATAAACAGACGAGCGCTGTTAATGGATCATTTGCCCTGAACAAAGCTTATCTTGCTTCATACTAACCTCATCAAGCCGCAGTGTTGACGACAACACCGGATAAGCATCATTGGGCTTTGAAAAGTATCAACCTTAAAGAAAAAGGAGACAATTCTGTCTCAAGACATCTGCGTTTTTTCCTTCAGAACTTTTTCAAACTGGAATATCAACGTTCTTGAGCTTTTCCCAAACGAAACACAATATACTGCAACGGCAAACGGCAGTGTTGGTAACGGCAATTGAGATTATCATCCCGTCGAGAAGGAATCAACTTCAATAGACATCACCAGAAGTGTCTTTCTCAACACATCATTTTCTGTGTTCAAACTGGACACTGAAGTTTATCATTGTGCCTGAGCCTATCCAGACGACATACAAACAATAGATTAATAGAATGGGAAAGAGTTTAACTTGGAACGAAGCAGAACCCGAAGTATTCGAGGTTCCACGGATAGACGATGAATTGATCGATGATGCATTTTATCAGGAAGATGAGATTGGCGAAATGCGACACACGGCATTTATGATTGAATGTGGACTGGAAGAGGACCCTCCAGATGGACCGGACGTACCGCCAATACCTTGGAAGCCGGAAGATTTGAAAAAGGCGGCTGAGGAAGCAGAAGCTGCCAATAAGAAGGAAGAGGAGGAGAAAGAAAAGAAAGAAAAACCAGCGCCCAAACGAGGGCCACCGAAGCGGACGCATTCAATGGACGAAGGATTGGTGGACTTGGAGGAGCATCTACCCGAGGCAGCAAAAAAGCCAGAACCGAACCGGGGTGTCGTTGCCACGCATTCTGGTGGTGTCTTCCAGAATCGACCGGCCAGACGGAAGGTACCTCCAAGCAGAACCATGTCGGTCGATGCTTACGGCTCATCAGGGCAAAAAAAGACCCTGTCAATTGGCTTGGCCAGGACGGAGAAGAAAAGCATCGGAGGCCCGCGAAAAATTGCTGCAAGCAAATCAGGGTCCCTGCATGCCATGCGCAAAAATCTCGATAAACTTGCCGAAGGAGACGAAGAACCACCTCCCATCGGATCGCCAATCGGTTCACCACGACGGGCTTCCAAACTTGTTGCTACCAAATCTGGCAATCTGCATGGGATGAGAAAGGCGCTGCAAAAGCCAGAAGTCCAAGCTGTGAAGGAAGAAGAAGTTTCAGGGGACGATGAGTACACCGAACCAATGAAGGGCGACGAACCGACGAAGAGAGAGCCAAAGCGTGGCAGTCTGGTTGTCACCAAATCGGGCACATCCCATGGCCTACGGAGAGCCAATCGGCCAGAGAGAAGAGATTCCAGAGACTCCAGGTCAGTGGATTCTACGTCTACTAGTGGAGACTCGTTCTTGAGTGACTTTGGTAGCAGTAGTTCTGATGATAGCGACATCTCCATCGAGACTGACGCCAGTGAGGAGGATGAACCCAAACCTAAACCAAAGACACCAAAGGAGATCTTGCAACAAATTAAAGCGGACAAGGTAAGCTCAAAAACGAACGGAGCCGTGTTCTGTTCCGCGCATCTGTTTTCTCACTGCTGTCATTTCTGTCCAATAGGAGAAGGCAAAGAAGAGGGAGAAACGAAGAGAGGAAAAGAAAAAGGCTAAGAAAGAGAAGAAAAAGTCTGAAAAGGATGGAGATGATTCATCAGAAAAGAAGGAGAAGAAAAAGAAACCTGCCAAGCGATTCAGTGCGAAAAGATCAAGTCAAGCCGACATTCCGCCAGCATTCCGTGCATCATTTTCTCGCTAAACAAGTATTAGTTGCCTCTACTACTTTTCTTGACCCTTTTGAATCTTTTGTAGAGAGTTGTTCTGTTGACAAAGCAAAGAGACTGTAGTGCAAGGTAGTGGTTCGTACCGTACGCACTTCAATCCTTCCTTACATTGTGAATTGGCGCGCGAAATCGTGCGACCATTTTCTGAGACCCAAACCTTCCCTCCGAAACCCACATACCGTATCAACGACAAAAATAGGGAAGATGGTGGACAAAGGAGAAGTAGTGCTGCTAACTAGTCTTTCCAACGGGACAACGGCTAGGTAGGTTGCGTTCGAGCTGCTTTGTGACATCCACTTTTCTACCATAAATTGATTCCATTGATTCCATTGCTTCTCTGCTCGAACGACAACATTGCTCTGACCAATTGAATTTTCCCATTACTAAGAGCGTCATCTGTACTGCAGAAAAATCACAAGCTTTATGGACCAAAGAAAGCATTTGACTACGAAAATGATACCAATTGTTGGAATTCAGAAGGTAGTTCATCGGGGAAGCAAGATTGTTATTTCATTGTTGAATTTGAACGGCTAGTGATTCCGACTGAGGTTCGAATTCAATTTCAAGCTGGATTCTCTTCGGAGGAAGTATACGTATCCCGGCTTGGGGCGAATGCAAATTCATATGAACCAGTTGATGAATTGGAGGCTGAAGACGAACACGAGATGCAGGTATTCCCACTGCCAGTCACCGATGAAGCAAAAGAAGGATCTTCCGCTCTCAAGCTCGAATTCAAGGAGTTTACAGATTTTTACGGAAGAGTAACGATATATCAACTGCAAGTGTGGGGGCATGAGATCTCCACCAAGTGAAATTATTCAGTTTTTGTTTTTCTATAGCTAGTTAGTATGTAGTGTAGATAGGATCGATATCTTCAATAGTCATTGTATTAAAAAGTAGACATAGTAGCTCAGCCTAACTTCGTTTTCTGGTGGATTTGGTGTTGATCGTACTCCCAATCATGAGCTTAATGCAGCATTCAGTCGTTTTGTTGCCATCAATAACCCCAGCTGTGCTTCTTCTGATGCAATATCGTCAACATCGAAAATGCTCTCGAGAAATGGAACCACAAATATCGTGAAAACCACGCAGAAAGCCATCGCGAAGACGTCAAACGAATACCGATGGATCCAAAGTATACATTCTGCCCCAGTGTTTCGAAATGCCAAGCGTGGCAGAGAATCATCGTTTGCTACCAACGGTCTCTTGAAGGAAACTTGGTTCATCATGCTTCTTCCCGGCTGTTCTTTTGAATCCGAGGAAGAATCAGCACCGTCGTGGCGGTCATGGTACAAAGCATCCGGATTCATGATTAACAAGATGTGTGACACTTCTGTTGAGTGGTTTAAACTTTAGCAGGTGCACGTTGGGTCGGGTATGGAAGTCATTTCCGAATCGTTTGTAGAAAAAAATTTGGGAATCATTTTGAGTCGACATAGTCAAACACCACCACCAATCAGAATTTCCGCCCGAACTGACACACATCAAAGCACAACAAGATCCGTACGTACACGCAGGATCCAAGCGACTCTGCAATAGGAAACATCGACGATTAACAGCAAGGCACCAAAACCTATTCACTCTACATTAGGAACACCATGATTGATGGATCAACAATACAGTCCATTTTTGGGCCATTTGGAAGCGAAGATTCGTTGCTTCCATTCTTTGGTCCATTGACGTTGTGGGTTGGCATGTACACCTACAGTCACGTCAAGGGCACGAGTTACCAAGATTGGCCTATTCCACACAACACGCATCACTTTTTTGGGATGATATTTGCCACACTTTCGATCATCTACGACAACGAAGAAATATTTCCAGAAAGAGTTGGGGTTCTGTGGACGCTTTCCTTCTTTGTGATTGATTTCATCGATTGTGTTCGGGTGATGCACACTGCCTATCTATTCCACGCGGTGTGTGTTTTGTTTTTGAGGTATGTTGTTATTTTCATTGTCGTTTCCTGCCGGAACTGGAAATGAAATCTAATAAACTTTTTTCAATCGCAAAGTTCTTGCAACTTGATGAATCCGAGCTTTTACCGTTTGAGAATGAATTCCAGAGCAATGTATTTGGAACTTAGTAGTCCATTCATGCACCTGAGCAAGAAAACGAGAAATCCGTTGCACTTTGCAATCTTCGCCTTAATGTTTACATGTTGTCGGGTCGTCTGGATCCCACTCATCATGAAACGTCTGCTTGATGATGGATTGCCATGGACGGACTACAAGTTCTTGGTTGTGATTGCCTTTTATGGGCTGAACCTCTTTTGGTACGCGAAAATCTTACGAATAATTATCTTTGGGCCTCCACAAAAGGAGGACAAGAAAGAAGGGTAGTTGAGACCAAACTTGTCAACATTAATACTTCAGCTTCACTTTTTGGATTTCATTATACGGTAGATTTTGGGAACATTGGATTATGCCTTCCCACCCATCGACAGGAATAATTCGCATCCCCATCTACACTCTTGAATAATAGTGCAGCCCAGAGTAGTAGACACATATTCAATTTGAATGCCAGCAATGTGACAGCGCAGAATCTGGTCACTCGGCCAAAAGGCGATCCTTAACGGATGATGATATCTGGTGTCTGTCCTAAATCTACCTCAACACAATGTTCAGTATCCCCACTCAACTTTTAGATAGCTGATACGGAGAACAATGGTATCCCTACTGTATGGTACGGTTATATTCTGCAGCAGCTTGAGCTTCGTAAACAGGTATTGACGCTAGAGATCGTGGATTGGTCTTCACTGTTGGTGAACTGGGGTTTATCCGCCGATAAGAAAATTCAACCCATTTACTCCTTTCGATTTCTTCGACCAGCCATTTTGAATTTTGTTTCGAGAAAAATCCGCGATCTTTCGAGACATGGAGGAGCAATCTGGGACGTGCTTTGATGGACGAGTCATCATATCTCATGGACGAAGCAAGATCCAATTTGACATATTCCAACGCTCTAGGGGGCTTTAAATTTGCCTTTCTATCCAGCTGCACGAGATTTCAATCATGATCATTGACAAAGAATTGAGGAAGAAGCAAGTTTGGGTAGCATCTCAAATGAAAACAGCTGAGCAATCGTCCACCATTACTTATTTTCCAGCGTTACCGGAAACACACTTGGATTGGTTGGAAGTGGGCGATGCTCCGCTAGAATGGAATGGTGAGAACCCGCCAAATACAAGCGGACAAAGTATGCCGAGCGCTGACCGTGATGTCGCTTGTACGGCAAGAGAACAACTCGAACTGAGCAACGAGGACCTCCTGCAGCGGAAGATCGATAAGTAAGAACGAGACATTGCCAAGCTAAAATGGGAACTACAAAATCCAGAGGAAGCGTCCAAAAAGAAAAGGGAGAAGGAAGACGCTCAAAAGAAGGCCCTCAACCAACCGAAGAAGTGGTTCGAGTTCAGCAATGCTATTGGTGGCTCGTGGCTGAAAGCATCAACAGGTCCACCTAACCCCGATGCTCCACTTCATCTTTTGTTGGTTCGAGATGGAAGAGTTGTCGATGTGGTGAAAACGACAGTTGCCCGTTATAAGAGTATTCCGGAGTACTTTTTGTTTGCCAGAGGCCCAGGATGGGGTATCGACATCCCCAGCATTGTTGGACACCAGAATTCTCTCTTTCATGACGCTCAAATTGGAGATTGCGCGTTGCTGCAGATACAACCGTATCACATGCTCCACGAAGATTTCAAGGCTTCCCTTTCTGATTTCTACACAATCGAAACCCCCGACGATAATCATCATAAGGGCCTTGTTGACCTTGATGTGGTCAAGTCCCAAATTAAGATTTGCGCCATCCAAAAGACATCTCCGACATCGCGCACCACTGTGTGCTTCGAGCCACTCTCAGAGATCAAAACTGAAGTGAAAGTAGGCGACAAACTTTGGCCATCCAATCCTTCTTTTGATGGGTCCATATGGAAAAAGAGAGACGAAACATTCCGACAACGGGATCATCAGAGAGTCCTGGGTTCCGCTGACGATGAGCTGAAACAGCGTATTGAAGAGTTGGAGGAACTGCTTCAACACAATAAAGATATTCGGGATATTCCTGGCCGCCGAGAGGAATTCCAGGACGAGATCCGAAAGAAGCATCCTTACGTTTGGAGCGACACGAATGTTGCTATGAATGGTTCGTGGATCAAGGCTTGCACCTGGCCTCCGCAGGGTGACATGCCAGTTGATATGCTTCTCTTACGAGATGAACAAGTGGTAGAAATCATTTCTACCACTCTGAGCAAATTGGATATATTTGGACCTTACAATCATGGAGAGTACAGCGGCGAAAAGTCAATGGTGGGGAGCCACCCAGGATGGGCAATCAATGTGATGACAGCATCCTGTGTTTTCTCTGGAGGACTTGAGATTGGTGACTGTGTCATGTTGAAAGTTCCTCCTCTCACTTGTGAAGGTGGAAAGATAGTCACCTAAGAGTAGATGATTGATTGGTTGGTAGGAATAAGCAGGACCATCCCACAACTCGAAAAAAGACATATATAATACTATCTATCAGTCATGGTAATAAAAGCGAGTGCGATATGACTATTTCAATACCCTACTAAAGCCTTCTTTTATGCGGGATTGGTGAAGTGAGATATAGGTGAACTCATATGAGTATGAATCATCATATACTCGCGAACCTATTGACAATTTGTTTCAGCGAATGGCTGAAAGTGGCAAATGTCAGCAATGCATTTAGTCCAAAAAATATTACTGTAACTTAACGTCTTCCACCCTGGTAAGAGAATCTTTGTCTCTTTTCAGCGGGCTTGAGGATCTGGAATGAGCACATTAGAGTATCATCGACACTCATCATGGCTCCTGCATTGTCGAATTCACCGCAGTAGTTAGGTGCGGAGAAGAGAGTCACCAGTTGTCTTCTGGCAAAGAATTCGTATCCATCTTCGACAACCTGGTGAGCACGGCAAATCAAATCCAGGTCATGCTTGTGCAAAAACTGCGCAACAATATCTTCCCCGAAGGTGAATGAGACACCCCGATCGTTCTCACCCCATCCATCAATTTCCTTATCAGGGTCAGACCAGAGGAGGTCACACAACAGACCAGTATCTGGGACATCCGTCGGTCTGACAATGCGTTTTACTTGATCCAAACTGGTGAGTTCAGGAGATAGACCACCGTGCATGCAAAAGATCTTCTCGTCAATAACACCAGCACAGGGAAGGCAATTGAAACAATCTGTGAATGTTTTCCATAGCTTAATTCCAAATCGTCGCTTGCATTCATCGTAGAAACCATAGATACGGTTGATGGATGCGCACTCGTGGTTACCACGGAGAACGAAAAAGTTCTCGGGATACTTGATCTTGTAAGCAAGGAGCAAGCAGATTGTCTCTAAAGATTGCTTTCCACGATCCACGTAGTCTCCAAGGAAGATGTAATTTGATTCAGGAGGGAATCCACCATATTCGAATAGACGCAATAAATCATAGTATTGACCGTGCACATCACCACAGATTTTGATGGGTGCTTCCAATTCGAGAAGCATGGGTTGTCCAATCAACAAATCCCGACTACGAAGACAAATCATCTTAATTTCGGCTTCCGAAAGGTCGACCTGTTTTCCAGGACGGGCACCACGCACACTAAAGTGATGAAGAAGATAAGGAAGAGGGAATTTGTTAGAGCATGTGAATGTGAATGAATATAGGTGTTATGATATGATTGCAACATAACATAAACATGATATGACCATCCAGAAAGACACATCATTCGGCCAAAATACGGCACCTTGTAGCGAGCACGTAGAAAGTCTACCAAGTTTTGCGCAGCACAGCAAAAGTCTCAGGAAATTGGCAAAGATGGGCTTGCTGTGACCAAAGTAAAGTCATCCTCATGATACGCTTGCATGCAACAACGCACTCCTTTCTAATATGACAGTATACACCAACCTATTCTCACCTTAGTAGTTTGTCAATAATGACATCGACAGGATCGCTCAGGAGAGCAACCTGTCCGTTTGCTGAACTATCACCCATTTTTATCCTTGTATTCTATCTTTTGCTTTGTTCACAGTCTTTGTGCTACTTCACAACGATATCCTTGTTGCAGTCAGCTTGTGCCTTGGTTGAAATTATAAACAACTAATGCACTGCTCTTGACTTTGGAGAGATGATGATTGCTTCCAATTCTTCCTTTGAACCTGCGCTGCTGATCGGCGGCGGAAGGGAGATTTGCAAGCTGTACGGATTTACTTTGGAGCACACGTAGCAGGGTCACAAGTCTTTGGGACAAAGACCCTATCGTAAATTTCTACTGTCTGCAGTACATCGCAGAAAGACCCGGATCTAGAAAACAATTGGAGGTTGGCAGGAGTTCGTTTTTTACTTAACGATCTCTGTCGCAGTGATCTGCTGATACACGTCACATTTGACATTGCTGCTGCCTGCCACAGCTCCAAGTTTCTCCTCTTCTCCAGGATCAAAATCAGAGACACCTAGAACAAGTGCTAGAGTTGCATTGTATTTTTCATTCTTTTTTCTGCATGTGCATTGTTATGGACTAAATGCGAGAACAGTAGATTTCTTCACTGGTTTCAGAAATGCATTGTGCCTCCAAAGCGAACTTTGGCAATTCGATGAAGTCATTAGCATCATCATCACCTGACACGTGACCACAAGAAATATTTTTATGCACACTATATCTGTACCTTTCTCTTTGAGGACTGTCTCAGTACGTACGTACTTTTTTGCTTTCATTGACAGATGGTGGTGAGGGCAATCGCAACCAAACGAGGAAAAGAAAAAAACACATCAAAATCGACACAAAAATCGAATGATCCTGGTATTGTCGAGGTTAGTTCAAAAGCTACCACTTCGACCCAAGCTCACTTCCATCCCAACAAATAGTATGAAAATTCACTCACTTGCATTGGCAGGTGCATTCGTCCAGGCATCCGCATGGATGCCAAACATTGCTTCCAAACACAACACACTTCTTTCGATTGTCCATCAGAAAAGAACAACTCATCAATCACCTGTCCAAAAAGTTCAAAGTCAACTGCATTCGACGTTTACTCCCGAAGGCATTGAATTGCCAACCCCATTGGTTCCTACTGGAAACACCATCGCCGACGGTACTGTGGTTTCCATTTTTCGTGGTGGCTTTGCCGCGATTCGAATAAAAGACGACATTGACGAGGCGTATGCCACACCACAGGTCGTGGACACCACAGGCAAGCTCCCCAAATCTTTCAAAATGAATAGTCTAGGAGGTGATTTGATTGGACATCAAGTGGTCTTCAACAGCGGCCAAACGGGAGTCATTGTCACACACCGACCTCCCATTGTGTTTGTCTATACAGGGGACGATGAAATTCAGACTATGGATGGATCCGTCGAAATATTGGACAGCCTTGCCAAGGTTTCTGTACCGGATGATCTCAGGAGTGTCGATTGTTTTGGAACCTCATTATTGGGCAAATCATCATCTCAAAAGGGAGCAGCAGCAGATGCGGAAACAAAGCAACGGGCCATCTTTTCTCCCATTCCACAAGTCAAGGACATTAAATTGATCAATAGTCCATTGATCACGGGTGTGACCATGTTTGATGCACTCGCACCTATTGGAAAGGGCCAAAATATGTTGTTGATTGGAGACGATGTAGAGGACATGAGAGGCTATGTTTGTGATTTTCTTTCCATTCAGGCTAAAAGGACGAGATGTGTCTACGCATCAACCCAAGACAACGACAAGGCTTTGGAAATGCTTCAAAAATTCGGTTTGCAGGATGATGTGATTACTGTATCACGAACCAGTGGAGCAGACTCAGATAAGATCTCACAGGCGGCAGAAGCTACCATGGTTGCAGCAACGGCTTGTTCGATTGCCGAATCTTTTGCTTTGGAAAAGGGCGAAGATACCTTGGTGATCGTTGACAATATTGATCAGCACAAGAAATTATGGGACGCAACAACTCGAGTCTTGGTGGATGTCTTTGGCATTGAATCTGTTGTCAAGAGTGATCGCGATGGAGGCGCATCCTCGGAAATGAGAGCCTTCTTTTCTTCCTTGATACAACGCTCGGCAGCATTCAAAGTCAAGCGCGGTGGTGGTAGTGTGACTCTGCTTTTGTTGACGACGATCCCAAGGCTTTCCGTGGACGATGATAGCCGTGAATTCACAGCTGATGATTTCAAGGATAGTCCCGCTAAGATCAAGGACCGCATTCAACTACTCACAGACAAAAAGGTTCCACTCACGACAGCGACCTTGAGAAAGATTCAAATTCCCATTCCATCCGACTCGGAAGGCATGAGGCGACTTTCTTTGCAACATGTGGACGACCTCATTAGTATGTCGGATGGTCAAATATGGTTGGACGAAGAACTCAAGAAATCTGGAAGACAGCCACCAATGGACTTTCAAAGGAGTGTGACGAGAATAGGAATCGGTGCGGACACGGAATCACGAGCGGATGCCGCTGCAATTCGCCGAGTGGTGGAAGGTTTAAGGTTAGATCTATCGCAAGCAGAACACATGGAAGGAGCTGAGATGGGAGCCAAGTCATCGGTCAAGCAAGTGAAGAGTGCTAAATCCTGGTTGCTAGCCATGCATCAACCACCTCTATCCCATAGCCGGTCATTGTCTGAGTCAATCGTCGTCCTTTTGGCGGCATCCAAGGGACATCTTGGAGATTTTATTGACAAGGGATATGGAGCTGGAACCAAGGAGGGCGAAGATTTGATTGCAAATTTGGTCAGTCATGTCAAGGCCAATGCAGTCAATGCAATGGAGGAAATCGATTCGACCCAAGACTTAACGCCGGAGTCGACCAAAGAAATCGAGAATGCAATCAAGGGATTTTTGTCATCGTCGTTGTAGAACTAGAAGGAAGATACTGTACACAGAGTACTAATACTACTAAAAGAGCTAGTTTCAACATTGTTCACAGTATATTACCGCTATCATCATGAATATTCATGTAGCTTCATGGGAACAGTGCAGAAAGACTAAGAAATGAGCTGATGTTATATGGTGGTTTTCAACCACCTCAGTTTTCATTCTTGCTTGCCCCAAAATTGGAAACCCTCATTCTTGCATGCCGATGACGGACGCGTTGCCTTTCATCATACGTACTAAATTTTGCGTTCTAGCGCGCGCTCGGCCAGCCATTTTGGCGGAGACCTCCGGGTTTTTCCAATTCAAAGCGATCTCGATGGAATTCGCCCGTAGACTTTCTACCAAATGACTGAATTTGGAAAACTTTTCTTGCACCGGCCCTGCCGCCGTATTTTCAAATCATGTCTGTCCATCCGTTATTTCAGTTGTACGTCTTCTAAACATAGTCATTCATACGAGTATGCCGAGCACACTTTGGCTGTTGGAAATAGTGAATTTGGTCTATTTGGCGCTTGCGTGAGACGCTTTGTTTTCACCATCGATCCTCCAAGTGAATCTTGCACCTTTGTGAACAAACAAAACCTTCCACGAAGTGCATTGCTACAGAAAAACATGAATATGAGAGAGATACAATCAATGACGATGACTGGGACTCACCGGATTCTCATATACACGACATGTTACAATCTGCTGGACGGGTAAGTCACCTGAGTACAGTGTTTGTTCAGGAATGCTTTTCAATCCTGAATTCGTAAACCTTGCATGATGAGGGCGTTTTATTTACTCATACAACCTGTTGTTCTCTTGACAGTGTAACATTGACAATTCGAAAAATAGAAGAAGTCCTGCTGGAAGGTGGTCATCATGTTTGTATTCTAACCACGAAAAGTGGTAACATGAACAACACCCACATGTTTGGGCAACATCCCAATCGAACTGTTATCTTCATTGATGACGCCGTGCCTCTGGCACATTCCATTGATCCAAACAACCATGACAATACATACTACCTTGGTTTTTCTTTGAGTGACCATGTCAGATCGCAAATAGAAGATTTTGAACCAACTTTGGTTCACATTACTGTTCCAGATTTGACCTGCTTGCATCTCATCAATTACGCTAGGCAAAAGGAACTTCCACTCATGGGAACGTACCACAGTAATATCCCAGACTATATGACGCACTATCCAGGATGTGGATGGCTCAAGTACATCTTGGAGTCATTCTTCCGCCACCAATACAACTTTCTTCAAGCCCTTTATGTTCCAACTCCTTACATTCGTAAGCAATTGGTACAGAGTCTTCACATGGATCAAATCACAAAACTCCAAGTCTGGGGACGAGGAATCGATCTGGAACGATTCTCACCAAAGCACCGATCTCGAGAATTCCGTTCAAGAATGGGATTCAGTGATAAGGATGTGGTCCTGCTCTGGGTTGGACGACTGGTTCCTGAAAAGCGCCCTGACATCTTTATTGATGTAATCCGAAAGCTCAATGCGAGAAACATCCCCTTCAAGGCACTTGTAGTCGGTGCTGGACCTTCTGAAGAAACTGTCAAGTCTCTCCCCAACACAAAATTTGCGGGGTGGTTGAATGGGGATGACCTTGCGAAAGCGTATGCATCTTCGGATGTCTTTCTCTTTCCTTCGGCTGTTGAAACATTCGGAAATGTTTCTCTTGAAGCAGCCGCATCTGGTCTACCCATTGTTGTAGAAGAAGGCTGTGGTGGGCACCTTGTGCGTCATGGAATCAGTGGCTTTGCATGTCACGAACATGACCTTGATGGATTCTTCAAGAGCGTTCTATGCCTACTTTTGGACAGCCAAAGAAGAAAGTCCATGGCAACGGAAGGACGAAAGCTAAGCATGAACTTTGAAAAGAGGACTGTTTGCGAAAAGATGCTGGAAAACTACCGAACAGTGACGAATGAATTCTTCTCCGAATTCGGAGGTCGCCACGCAAACCGTGATGCAGTCTACTTGACGAAAGACCATTCCTTCATATCTGGCTCCACCCCAAGACCCCTCGTCCTATGTTCCATTGAACAGTTTTTCCTTTTCTGGATTCGTCTTTGGTATCGAATGGCCATGCTTTTCATGTTTTGCCGTGAAAGAATGGTGTACGTGCCAAAATCTAGTTCCAAGACGCTTGCGGAACAAACCAAGGATCAACAAGGCCTCATCCCTGTGACTGTCGGCCAAGAAATTGCGTCTCAAGGCGTTGAACTTGACGACATTCCAGAAATGGATGAAGAAATCGACCTGGAAGATATGGATGTGTCGTACCCTCAAGAAACCCTCTTGCCAAAAATCAAAGAAGAGGATTACGATATTGATACAGAGTCGACGCATACGGAATGCACTTCATCATCAACCGCTAGCTTGAATGTCGATTCCTTCATATACCCGCAAGAAGACCGTCACTTTTCTTACAGAATGTCTGCCAGGTTTGTCCAAGGAATGTATGCATGCATTCGATTAGAAAACCGATTACGCAAGGGCTCTGGTCACAAACGAAATCTTCACTGGAATCTTTCCACACAGAAAAGAAAAGTGACTGATGATCCAGACAGGACGTATGAGGATGATGAAAACATGAAGAGCCCATTGCTCGACGAAGGCTCTTGTAACTTGAGGAGGGGGAATTCCTCAATCGGGTTGGCGTAAATTTTGTTGCTACAGTATGTTGTTGTTCCCCCTGATCTCTACACCTTATGTTTGGCAGCGTGTGATTTTTGTCAAGAAATGAATGGAAATTTTTATGATCCTGCCTCTATGAAATCAATAATACATCTAGAAATACACAAGTTGCATTTTGCCATATATTACATTTACATGCAATAAGCTGAAAGTATGATTACAATGACGATAGGAGGACTTGCCAGCTGAATGTTTTGGAATTTGAAGCAATAACTCCTGCAATGGATCTTACAGCGATCGAGCATAATGCGCCTGGAAGCATGGAGTATCACAGTGTTGGACCCGCCAGCACCATTTTGGATTGGCTTTTCTATTAGCAATGTGCGATCGTTTTGAAGTCTCAATTTAGGCTGATGCGAAAGATTTAGCTGGCCTGATTTAGAAAAACCAGCAGGCGTGGGAGTCTTGTTGGATGAATATCTAGGCGAATATGGCGTCATTTTACCAGCTGAAAAACTGTCTTTTGTCGAATTCTCACGATATTTTGGGGGCTAGTTATTGACTAGCCCACCGGCACCACCAAAAAACCTCAGACCACGAAATTGTCATTCATCTGCATCGCTTCACTCTCTTAACCTGAGATCACAATCACCGCTACATCGAGGATTCCTAACAACGATTAAGCACAACAAGCAAGTATCGATCCTTCCATCTTGCAGTGTCAATCTATCTTACTCCAATATGCCAACAGATTCCGCTGAGTTTTTTGATCCTCCTCGCACTCCATCGCCACCACGAGAAAATACAAAACAACCTATTTTGATGTCAACGAAGGTAGTCCCAGAGGATGCAGAACCCTTTTCTGATCATCAAAATCGTCCAAGTAAAAAGAGGCCTCTGGCTGCTGAAGATGCCGTGGCCTTGCCGGCCAGTGTAGTTGTCGTTGAGAAATCGACAACCAAAGTGGAAACAACCACATCAAAAGCTACTTCAGCGTCAACCGAAAAGGAAGAATTGACTCAATCAAGAACACAAGCCGATGCTTGCGTAATATCCACTGATGGAGACGAACGGACAAGCAAGGACTACTACTTTGATTCGTACTCTCATCATGCCATTCATGAGGAAATGCTGAAGGACGAAGTTCGGACGCGTACTTACGAAATGGCAATCATGCAAAATACCTACTTGTTTGAAGGGAAAACAGTTCTTGATGTGGGATGCGGAACTGGAATTCTCTCCATGTTTGCAGCAAAAGCAGGGGCAAAGCATGTCTACGGAATTGACTGTTCATCAATTGTCGAACAAGCCAGGAAAATTGTTGACATTAATGGGTTTTCAGATCAAATCACAATCTTGAAGGGCAAGGTACGTTTGGTTCAGCATAATGCCAAAAGAGAGAATGAAACGAGAGCTGTAATCATTGTACTCACTCTCTCGCTTCCTGTCTCTTTTTTCATTTTCTAGGTTGAAGAAGTTGAACTTCCAGTAACCGAGGTTGACATTATCATTAGCGAATGGATGGGCTACTTTTTGCTATATGAATCGATGTTGGATACCGTTCTCTTTGCGCGAGACAAATGGCTCGTCAAGGACGGTATAATCTTTCCAGATAAGGCTGTCATGTATCTCTGTGGGGTTGAAGATGGACAGGTCAAGAAGGATCGTATCGACTTTTGGGGGGATGTCTATGGGTTTGATATGTCCCCAATCAAGGATCTCGCGATCAAGGAGCCCGTTGTGGATGTGGTTGATGCCAAAGCAATTGTAACAGACTCAGTTCCAATTTTACGACTGGACATTTTGACCTGCAAAAAGGAGGATTTAGAATTCACATCCAAATTTCGAATCTCTGCACAACGGAATGATTACATGCATGGATTGGTGGCATACTTTGAATGCGCTTTCACTCAAGTTCACAAGCCCATTGGCTTTTCGACTGCACCTTTCTGCCGCTACACACACTGGAAGCAGACCGTCTTCTACTTGGAAGACAGCTTGGTGGTTTGTGAAGGGGAGCAACTTGAAGGAGAAATTTCGTGTAAGCCAAACAAGAAGAATAACAGAGACTTGGACATTGACTTGTCGCTCTCATTGAGTGGACAGCACTCTAACATTGTGACCAACATGCATTATCGTCTGCGATAATGTGGACCCCCACGAAATAGACAAAAATAGACTAAATGATGTTAACATTTAGAACTTTCAAAAGTTAATCTAAATCATCCAAGTTAAAAGATTCGACTTGTTCTTGAAAAGCTTTTCGAGATTCTTCTAGGTTGCCCCTTTCCGCTTGAGATTCTGTTGGGAATAGATTGGATGTTGCTTTCTCGGCCTCTTCTTTCCGCCTTTTCTCTTCAGCTTCTTGATCCGATTGCCTCTTTCGTTCAGCATCCTCTCTTGCTGCCTTCTTTGCTGCTTTTCGGGCAGCTTTCCGAGCTGCTCTTTCTTCGGGAGATTCGGTGTCTCTGGAAGATTTCTTTTGTTTCTGATAGGCACGAGAAAGAGCACGTCCAGTGAAGGATTCCAGTTGACCATTCACAAACCGGAACACCCATGAAACTGCCATCGGACCAATGTTCAGGCCATATTTGCTCAGTGGCCCAGAAGCAACTTGGTCACCCATAAATTGAGCTGGTCGAAAGGGTAAGGAGGGGGTTGGAAAGAAGTATTTTGAAGAAGTGAACCATGACAGCAGAATAGAAGCGGATAGCCAAAGTTGAAGCCCATCAACGATTGCCATGAGAAGAATTCCAAATGCACCCATTCCTGATCTCAGCTCCGTGCATCGTTTTACCTCATGCCATTTTCGATCCGTATAGACCACAAAATTGACGCTAGCAACAGCGTAGAGTTGTTCCCAGAGCGGCCATCCAAGAACGACCAAAACTGCAATAAGAGCCACTACAATCCCACGTGTCATTAGAGCTCGTTTAAATTCTTTTGTTTCTCTTTCTCTCTCTTTGTGCTCCTCAAATGCGAGTGCTTGAATCAAATCTTTCTTGTCAAGCATTCGTCCAAGTTCGTCAGCCGCATAGCCATGTGTTCTCCCCAGCCGTCGTTTGATGTCTCGTACGCGCATGCTTTGAACTTCTTGCATGGACAAAGTTTTCGTCTGAAACGATGCAGGGCCGATTCCTCCCAGCATGTCGGCCCATTCCCAAGCACTAGTCGGTGTGAGCAGCGCCAACAGTAGCAGCGCTATCAGCCGTCTAAGTCTACTTCTTCCAACGTCCATGTTTTTTTGTGCAGTTCGAGGTTCCAGGTTTCAACGAAAGCTGCATTCGGACTAATCGACGCAGTGGAAGTCGAAATCGGAAGGAACGAAGAAATTTTTAAAAATACATCTGTGATAATGCTATACTATAATGTAACCCATACTTTCTTCATTGGTGCACCCTCCATCATTTTGGGGTCCAATTCGTGGCTTGTTATTGATCCTTGGTAAGACATCTCTTCTTCATTCATCATACTGTATGGAACAACGTTTGACCCATCAAAAGACTCTACTGCCATCAAGCATCCCGGTGCAAGCTCCCGTGCATCGTCAGATCCATCGATCATGGCACCACGGTTAGTCATCCAATTTCTAGCTATTAGGAATCGGGAAAGATTGGAAAAGTAGGCAACAGGAATGTTCAAGCCAACAAAAACCAAAAAGAGCTTCATGGACATGCTATAGTCCTCCACACTGCCATCCAACTTGCCCATTTGGTGAACCACATACCCAGCGCCCATGAGCGTAAAGAAGAACCACAATACTGCAAAAGCTGCAAGCTGTTTGTTTCGATTATCACGATCTTTGGATGCTGCACTAAGATCAATCTCAATATCAATCTTGGCTTGTCCTGACAATGGTTTGTTTGGAAGCCGAAGAATTGTGATCTTTTCGCGAGTGTATGGTTGATATACTCTCACTCTTTTTCGAATCAAAGTCTGCTTCGTTGGATGAGGATAAACAGCATAACCATAGTCCTGGAATGTGGTGCACGTGCGCGAATTCTTGTCATACAGAACATCACCGATAACTTCTTCACCATCGGAAAGATACTTTCCGACCAAGTGACGTCTCTTTGGAATGAAAACATGCACATAGATTGCGAATAGAGTCCACAGAAAGTGAAAGACCAGGAACACAACCAATATATCAAAAAGGCGGATCATGGACCCGATTTCTGCGTTGGCCTCATTCATTTGGTCGTCTGTATAGTCATCGCCAAGCTGGTAAATTAAGGCGTTTGGCCGGTCCCAGGCCTCATATAGAAAGTAAACGAGAAGCCCTAATAAAGGGAGTGTGGTCACAAAAAAGTGCGTTATCGAACCCTGCTGTGGAGCCAGAAGAAGTTCGGTCATGGTAGGCCCTCAAATTTTTGTTGTGTTCGTAATATTTTGCAGTCCTGGCGGATCACCACGGAAATGTGCTATGATAGGTGAGCTCGTCGGTCTTGCTTTCTCTATTTAAAAACGTTTTAATCGGCAGTTGAGTTGTACATTACTTTTCTCCAGCTTTGAGGATATTCAATGTAGGTACTGATATAGCCCTCACTATGACACTTGCCTGACTACTGACAGACAGATTGACTGCCACGATTTCAACTTCTACAGAATGACGGAGTTTCGGTGAAAACGCTCGCGCTAGGAACGAAAAGTGACTCTTCTCGGAGTAAAATTGTAACCATCACAAAGGTCACAACAGCAGTTGCGAACTTTATGCCGGATTATTTCGGAAGGCCCTGCCGGAATCATTCTGTCACATTGTCCAATCACAATAGACCAAAAGGCATACTTGCTGGTCTTCGGTCTTTCTCTTGAGAATTCACTTGACAAATGACTTATGATGACGTGATCGCAAATTCTTCGGAGCATCTGATTTTCCAGTCGTTCAAATCCCTTTTTTTTTAACTCTCTTTTTACACTCCACATGAGCTCATAAAACAGTAAAGCCCACAATCCGAGATGCAAATGATCCAAAGCAACCTTAACTTTAGCACCTCCTTCATGAACCCAGAGCAGAACAGCGCGTTCACGGCACTCGGTACGAGCAGCTCATGTCCGAAAAGTTTGTTGGCACAAATGCAGCAAGCTGTTCAGCCATCCCACCCCCCTTTGAAAAAACGTGACTTCACTTTGTCACCCACAAATGATTCCGAGGAAGCATCGCAGCCAAGCAAGAAGCGCCGCGTTGCAGTCGGTATGGGAAGTTGGTGGAAATTTGGGTCGATGCCAACTGAAATCAAGAATCTTGCCAAGCAAGGATCAGTCAAGTGTAAACCACCATCCTCAGGAAGTACCCAGGTCACCACCATGGACCCTAGACCGTTCCCCCCAGCAACGATACAAATCCGCACAGCCATGCCTATGTCGCTCCCCAACCAAGTCTCTCAAGTACTTGACAACAGCATCACACAATTCAATACAGCCCAGCTGGAGGCAGCACAAGCACGAATCGCCGCTGTGACCCAGCTAGCAGTAGCGCCTACAACCCCTGTCGCCCCAGTAGTGGAACGAAGTGATCATGACTCAGTCTCAGACACTGGAAGTGGTGGCTTGAAATACCGCCAGTACCAAGCTGAAAACTGGTCTGAACGTTATGAGTCCTTGATTATCTTCCGAAAGAACCATGGACACTGCCTCGTGCCCAACTCTTACCCCGAGGATGTTGCTCTTGCACAATGGGTAAAGCGCCAACGCTATCAATACAAGCTAAAACAAGAGTCAAAGAGATCGACACTCTCCGACGAAAGAGTTGAGGCTCTTGACAATATTGGCTTTGTGTGGGATTCCCACAGAGCTGTATGGGACGAACGATTCAATGAGCTTCTCGACTACAAGCGTGTCAATGGCAACTGCAACGTGCCCAGTCGATACACCGAGAACCGTCAACTTGCCGTTTGGGTCAAGCGTCAAAGAAGACAGCACAAATTCTTCCGCACAAACCAGCCATCCAGCATGACGGAAGAGAGAATAATCAGGCTCGAATCCATCGGCTTTGAATGGGATCTAAGATCACGGGACTCCAGTTAAATACCATATCAGCAGATAGAAATATAAAATGTAATAAGATACTGTGAAACAAAACTTTGCTTTCCTCTAGCTTTAGTTCATTAAGTAGTGGTAAGTGCTTGTGTAGGTGGCCACTGTAATGGCAGCTGACGGAGCTCCCCGGCCATAGGCAACTTCCCAACCCCTTGTGAGTGCCAACATGCTCCCCGTTGCGCCCTTTCTAGATGCTAGAACCACAGCCTCGCGCATGTTTTTTGCGGTACCATTTTGAATCCACGTTTTCATAGTATCAATTGGCAGGGCCCAGACCCAAAAGGCGATTCCAGATAGTGCACCTGAGAGGAGAACAATTTGAAAGGAAGGCTTCTCATTTGGAGACAGTATTTCTTGTGCGCTAGCCATAGTCACAAAGTAGAGCCCACAACCAATGGAATCACGGAGCACGGTACTAGTCATTCCACGCCATAGACCAGAAAGTCCATTATTTATCAGTGTTGACCGAATGACACTGATTGTTGTTCCCTTCGCTGCTTTTGACTTCCCTTGCTCTGATATCAGACGATTCCGAACATATTCCACCGGAGTGACAAATAATCCTCCATTGATGGCGCCCCCAGTAAAGCCACAGATGAATCTATCAGTCGATGTTAATTGGTACTCCCCTTGATGTGATTGCCTCCCTTTGTTGTGAAAGTCCAGCAGTGCTTCCAACGTCAAATTATTTACTGTGAAAATTGTTCCTTTGTATATTGCTTGAGCTCCGAAAGGCAAGGCCAACCCGACATATAACGCTCGAAATCCACCAGACTGTATCGTCTGACGAAAGGTTCCAATGACGCCGACACTTGTCTTGTCAAATGCGCTGCTCTGAATTTTGATTCTCAGAACATCAAACGGGTAACAGACAAGAGTAGATGCCATGCCCGCAAAGCTCCCCGCCAGCAATGAGTTTCGGAGCAATTTGGTTTGCGTGTCATCAGATGATATTGATGAATCTGACATGTTTACTATCGAATGTTGGTTGCTTTGCCAATTGCAGGACCCGCAATCATAATGCCGGTTGTGGAAAACAGAAAAATAATGGGACGCGTGTTTTCATTCATTCGTCCTTCCGTCCCTCCGGCAGGCTGATGAGGGAAACTGACGCAATTGATGGTATGCGATTCGATGATTCCAAGAACATCATTACAACAGTTGCAGATCTTGTTGCATCACCTACACAAAGAGTTTAGGTGACTAATAGATCCTAATTGCAACAGGAAATGAAGCTGATTGCAGTAGCCATGATATATTACCTCTCAGTCCTTTCACTGAGAGGACCACAGGGTGCGGCTCGGGCATTCCAACACCGCAATGTACCATTTGCACGACGAGCAGCTTCCACGTCGCTAAACGCCAAGGGCAAAGGTGAGATATTGGATGAGTATCTGATGGAAATCGTTCTTTGTTTTATTCTTACAACATTTTTCTCCATCATTACCCCGGAAAAGGCGGCGGTGGCGGCGGCGGCAAGAAACCAAAGAACCCTTTTGCATCCACCATTTTCCTTCCTGACACTCAGTTTTCACAACGGGCAAACGCAATCAAGAGAGAACCCGAGATTCAGAAGTACTGGTCTGAGATTGATATCTACAAAAAGCTTTCGGAAGCGGCACCAAAGGAAAGATTCATTCTTCATGACGGTCCTCCGTATGCCAACGGAAGTCTGCACTGTGGACATGCATTGAACAAGATTTTGAAAGATTTCATCAATCGCAAGCAAGTGTTGAATGGAAGACAAGTTCATTATATTCCGGGTTGGGATTGTCACGGTTTACCAATTGAATTGAAGGTGTTGCAAACCATGAAGAGCAAAGAACGTCAAGCATTGACACCAATTACTTTGAGAGAAAAGGCTGCAGAATTCGCCAAGGCGACTGTCGAACAGCAATCAGAGAGCTTCCAAAGATACGGTGTGTTTGGAGACTTTGACAAGCCATACATGACGCTACAGCCAGAGTTTGAAGCCGCCCAAATCAGAGTTTTTGGAGAAATGTTCAAGAAGGGGTTCATTTTCCGTGGAAGAAAGCCGGTTCACTGGTCGCCATCTTCCCGAACCGCTTTGGCCGAAGCCGAACTTGAGTACCCCGAAGGCCATATTTCAAAGAGTATCTACGTCGGATTTCCAATCGATGCTCCATCAGATGCCATTAAGGAATTCCACTCCGATGGTAGTCCAGTCAAGGTTGCAATTTGGACCACGACACCATGGACCATGCCAGCCAACATGGCCATTGCTGTGAACCCAGAGCTTTCTTACTCCATTGTGGAAAACGAAAAGTGTGGAAGGCTCATTGTTGCCACTGATTTGATGGGCGCCCTTGCGGTAAGTTTACGATGAGGCATGGAAGGGAACTTGGTTTGCTGTTATCCTCACCATTTTTTCTTTCAGGGCAAGCTTGGTTTGGAGGAAGAGACCCCATTCAATGTTCTCTGCACTGTCACTGGTGCTGACCTTGTTGGGACCACATACTCGCATCCTTTGTACGACAGAATATCACCCGTTTTGGCCGGAGGAGACTACATTACTACAGAATCTGGAACAGGACTTGTCCACACTGCCCCAGGCCATGGTCAAGAGGATTACCAAACAGGACTCAAGAATGGTCTCGAGCTTTTGAGTCCAGTAGACGATGTTGGAAAGTTCACAATCGAAGCAGGAGAAAAGTTTGTAGGTATGAGCGTTCTTGGAGACGGAAACCAGGCTATTATTGATGCTCTGACAGAGGCTGGAGCATTGCTCAAGGTTGAGGACTACGGGCACAAGTACCCATATGATTGGAGAACCAAGAAGCCAACTATTTTCAGAGCTACTGACCAATGGTTTGCTAGTGTTGAAGGATTCAGAGAAGATGCCTTGAAGGCTGTTGATCAAGTGAGTTGTTATTTGCTGCGAGCACGTCTCGGTGCTTTCTGTACGCAAGGCATTCCATGATTTCTTTGACTCATACTAACGTATTTTGCTTCGTAACAGGTTCAATGGGTCCCAGAAGTCGGAAAGAACCGAATCAACTCTTTTGTGGTTGGTCGTGGAGATTGGTGCATCTCGCGTCAACGTGCCTGGGGTGTCCCCATCCCAGTTTTTTATGACAGAGAAACTGGCAACGAAGTTCTATTGGATGACAGTACTTTGGATCATATTGAAAAGATCTTTGCGGAGCAAGGAAGTGATGCTTGGTGGAAGCTAGACGAGAAGGATCTTCTCCCTGATAAGTACAAGGACGAAGCCGACAAATGGAAGAAGGGTACTGATACCATGGACGTTTGGTTTGATTCCGGATCCAGTTGGGCTGGTGTTGCCAGCGCCCGCGAGGAACTTGGTTATCCCGCCGATCTTTACTTGGAAGGTTCCGATCAACATAGAGGGTGGTTCCAAAGTAGTTTGTTGACCAGTACCGCAGTCAATGGCCATGCTCCCTACAAGACTGTTCTCACTCACGGATTCGTCTTGGATGAGAAAGGTTTCAAAATGTCCAAGTCCTTGGGTAACGTGATTGACCCCGTGCAAATTATTGAGGGTGGAAACAACAAGAAGTTGGAACCAGCCTACGGAGCCGATGTTCTTCGATTGTGGGTTGCTTCTGTCGATTATTCTGGTGATGTCAACATTGGTCCCAACATTATCAAGCAAACCTTTGAAAGTTACCGCAAGCTTCGTAACACTGCCCGCTACTTGGTTGGAAACCTTGCCGATTTTGTCCCCGAAGGACAACCCAACAGCAACGCCATCCCGTACGAAGACTTGCCATCTTTGGACAAGTGGATGTTGGGTCGTCTCTCTGCCGTCATGAAGGAGGTTGACGAAGCCATGGACCAATACCAATTTCAACGGGCCGTTCAAGAACTTGTGCGCTTTGCCTCGGCCGACATGTCCAACTTTTACTTGGATGTGGCCAAGGATCGTTTGTACATTTCTGCCATTGATGATGCCCGACGAAGAAGTTGCCAAACCGTCATTCATGCCTTGTTGGAAGGATTCACCAAGGCATTGGCTCCCATTTTGCCGCACATGGCCGAAGATATTTGGCAAAATCTGCCTTACACCAAGCCTACGGAAAGTGTCTTTGAAGGTGGTTGGCCCGAGGCTTTGACCAAGTTCGAAGACTTTGATACTGACCAATGGGACTTTGTTCGTTCGCTCCGTGATGACGTGAACAAGGTCTTGGAAAGTGCCCGTACTGACAAGTTGGTCGGTGCCTCCTTGGATGCCGCAGCCTATGTTTATATTCCTGATGAAGACAAACGCAAGATGCTTCAAGCCTTGGTCGGTGACGAACACTTGGTAGTCCCTGCCGTCAAGACCAACGGTGTGGACGAACTTCGCACCGTCCTCATGATGTCCCAAGTACACCTTGTGGACTCTCCTGAAGCAATTTCCGAGGCCTGTGATGAAAAGTACATGTCGGTTGGTGAGACCACCAGCGGTTGCGTGATTGGAGTCACCAAGGCTGCGGGCGTCAAGTGCGAGCGATGCTGGTTCTACGACACCACCTTGGGCGAGGACGATAGCTTGGCCCATTCCGATGTCTGCCAACGTTGCAACCACGCCATTGAAGCCTGGGAAGAAGCCACTGGAGAAACCTTTTCCAAACCAGTTGTGGAAGAGGAGCAACCAGTAGCCTAATAATAAGTATTATACTTTATTGAATAAGATACACAACGCACACTGTCTCCATTCACAAACACAAATATCAATTATGATTGTAGAAACGAAAAAAGTATGCAATCGTTACCTTATTTTTCTTGGGGCGTTTTTGTCTTTGACAACATTTACATTTTTTCACTTTCTACACCTCGAACAATTAATAATAATAATAAATAAATCAAGTCAATAAATCTAGTTCCCACCATTGGCTCCATCATTGTCCAGAGTTTCATTCAATTCTTCAATGGTTCGCTCTTGCATTTCATGAATGTTATTGAGCTGCTCCAATTTGGTTTCTGTTTCTTCCAGTTCCTTTTCCAAATCAGCCACCGAAGTTTCGACCGAAACCTTTTCCTTGAGACGTTCCAATTCACTTTGGTTTTCACGGATTCGGTCGTCGTACTCGGCTTGCATGTCAGCCTTTTGTTCTTCCAAAAGTTCCAATTGCTTGCGCAATTCGAGTTCAGTTCGACAGCGGTCTTCGACAATCTCGGAGATTTCCTTCTTGAGGGAAGTGACAACTTCCTCACAAGACTGTTCGACTTGTGCCATTTGGTGCGCCGTAGCGTCCATCTTCTTAACGGCCTTGGCCAGCTGGGATTGGAGTTTCATAACGTACTGAGAATCCACACCACCCTTGGGTGCAACGCCCTTGATGAGGTTGGCATATTCGTGAATGGCGTCCTTATCTTGCATGTCCTTTTCCAAGGCTTCAAGACGCTCTTCCACAGCCTTTGTTTGGCGCTTCAAGCGTTCGACTTCAATGCGATGCAAGATGGCCTCCTTCATTTGGCGCAATCGTTCTTCTTCCAATTCCTTTTGCAAGGCAGCAAGTTCTTGATGCTTTTCCAAGCGTGTCTTTTCCAGAGCCGAAATACTGGCGTCACGAGCACGCACTTGTTTTTCCAAGTCTCCACGGGCTCCTTCTTCGTTCTCTTCCACTCCGCTCACATCGGGAAGATTGTGACCTGCTTCATCTTTGCGAAATCTTCCAAACATGTTTCACTATTATAGGTTGATGGATAGTAACTTCTGTATACAATTCAAACAGAGGAATGAATAGAGAGACAGACAGAACGTGTGAAAATCCCCAAGAGACAATCGCACAAGGATACTGGTGTGTGTAGTATTATTCAAAGATGACTTTTCGTTTTCCTTTTCCGTTGCTGGAAAACCCAACCAGTTTGCACGTTGGTTTCAGTACTGTTTTGGGCGACTCAACAGATTGGAAGAGTTCCAACGTGAAAGCACCCCCGGTCATCGTGCAGCCTTTCGGAAGGGGGGAATAGATACCGGTAGAGAACAGATCTTCATTCATTCGTGCTTCCGCAAATCCCCCAAACTGTCACAAGACTGGGCGTTGCGTGGCGGGCGCGTGTTGTACGACAAAATGTACCGTACGACTCCTACAGAACCTCAACGGATCGATTTTTTCAAAGACGGGCGACGAAAGGAATCGAGGCAGTCTGTCGTGTGGTTTGAAGACGACAACGACGACGTCAACGACAACGGACCAGCACTCTCATTTTGGTGATCGCATTAGTGTCATCGTCTGTCGCCTTTCCAAGACGTAGTCTGTCAAAAGTCATCAGTTGAAACAATCTGCATTGATTCTCCTATTTACATTTTTACTATTTTCTTGTGCACAAGTTGGTAGTTCAAAGTTGAACTTTGCATCAACAACAACAAACATAAAACACCTGCCACAAGAGGAACGAGAGAGGATTTCCAACAGGAGGAGTCGTCTGCACAACTCATTATAAGCAACCAATTGCAATTGCATCATTTTTCAACTACGAAACGTCGTAGCCAACGTCCGAACAACTCTCTTTGGTCCAAAAGTCCCATCCTTGGATTACTCAAACATGGAGGAAGTCTTTTTGCAAGAAATGGTCCGCGACCGTGAAATTCAAATAGGAATGATACGGAAAAAGCTCGAGGATCAAGAAAAGAAATTGGAATTGACGAAAAAATCATTAGAAGAAACAAAAAAGATATACACAGAAAATCACCTAAGTCATCAAATGGAACTGGACGAACTCATGCAAAAGCAATCCAAACTGTTGTCTCAATACAAGGACGCCAACGAAGAACTCGATCTCAAGAAGCAACAACAGGGACCTCAATTGCAAGTTTACAATGAAGTCATGTCATCACTCGAAACAGCAGAAGGAGATGAAGCTGCGCAAGATTCATCCTACGTCACTCGAATGCAAGCCCAACTCTGCAAGGCCATGCACAGCATGGGAATGGTCGAAACCCAATTGGCACTCTCGACTACTCAAGTGGAGGGTCTTCAAAAGCAACTACGAGAGTCCAAAACTACGCTAATAGAAGACAAGACACAGGTGGAATTGAAATTAATGAACGATCTAGTCCTCGCGGATAATGCTCGCAAGGAAGTATCGGAAAAGGTTACAAAGCAAACGGAAGAATTCACAGCGCAGAAGGATGCCTTGTTGGAAAAGTTTGAAGAACAACAAGAGCAACAGGATGAAGAAAAGGAAGGTGAAGAAGAAGAAGAAGAGGAAGAAGATGATGAAGAAGAAAAGGCAGAGTTGACGGAAATTCTTGTAGAAGGAAGAGAGGAGATTGCTCGATTGGAGGCGGAGAATGCCAAAGAAAAGGCCAAATTGGAAGAATTGAAGCAAAAGGTGATTGCCCTCAAGGGAGAAGAACTGGTCGATGCATTGTGTGCTCAGATAGCAGAAGATTGTGGAGTTGGTACAGAAGAGGCGGAAGAGGAGTAAATTATCTACAGTTATGGTAGCATTGAATGAATGAATGAATGAATGAATGGAGTTGATGGCAAACCGTGGTTTTGTGCGGACAATGACGACGATATAAATAGAAATGTTCAAGAGTGAAAGTCACAAAATAGTAGCAACTACTAGCTAGTAAGCTACCGTGGTCATAATGAATACGAAAATCCAAAAACAGACAAACCATAGAAGTCGTTACATCCAAACGTTATACTTGTATATTGTGTTCAGTTCTCATTTTCCGTTTCTCCAGACCTCCCGATCTCAACTGCAATGCTGCAAATTGAAACAACAACAAACAACACCATCTCAATTATCAACTATCGACACACACACACACACAACCCCATCATCTTCCCTTGGAGATATTTCCATCCCACAGTTACAATCACCACCACAAAAGAAAGGCTTCAATAATTTTTTCATCAATCGATTCATAATGTTCTCCAATGACCAAGTGGCCGAAGTCTCCTTGGAAGCACCTGTCAAAACCTTGGATGCGGTCCAGGGCGACAAGGTCGATACGCGATTCATTGCTGGCTCTTGTTCGGTGCAAGAAGGCGATACCAATCATTTATTTGTGTTACGGTATCATAGAGAAGCCAATCAATTGGCCGTGGATGCCAGGTTACCACACGAGACGGGGCCGGTTGCCAAAATATGCACAAGTCCTTCCGACAAGACGGTGGTGTTGACCTATGCGGAAGACTCGACCGAAGCCACCTTGTGGAAATTGCCGACAGAAGCCATGAATCGGAATGACGACCTCGATTTCGATGATGATGCTGATGATGCTGATGTGCCATTGTCCACCGAAGCCATGACGGTATCTGCCAAGTTGGAAACGTCTTCTTCTAGACAATTAGTGGATATGGTGTGGCGGTCCGTTTCCGACGATGAACCCAGTGCCATGGGCGATGTCTTTACCATGGATCAAGCTGGAAACATTTCACAATGGGATGTGGCCTTTGGAGCTGCCGAATCCACTCGTCAAATTGAGGCTAACATTAAAGATAGCAAATGGAATCTGCCTCCCAAATTGGCCTGCGATCCTCATGATCCAGAGGCCATGGCGGTTGCTTCTGGAAGCCGTGTCCACATGGTCGACTGGCGGACCCAAGAGACCGTGGCAGATTTCATGTGTCATCATCGCTATGGAATTACGGATTTGGATTTCAATCCCAACAAGCCCCATGTATTAGGGACGGCAGGACAAGATGGGTTGATCAAATTCTGGGATTTACGGTCGTCCCGACAGCCTCTCATGGTATCCCGTGGTGGACACCGGCATTGGGTCTCCCAATTAAAATACAATCCCTTTCACGATCAACTCTTGTTGAGTGCAGGGACTGATTCGCTGGTCAACTTGTGGCGATTCAGTACCATCTCGAGTGCTCCCCTCTTGACCTTTGATGAAGCAGAAGACCCAGCAGACACTGCATCGGGACCCAATGTGCGAGTGGCTCAGCATGAGCATTTGGATTCGGTTTATGCCACGGCGTGGGGTGCTTCGGATGCTTGGGTCTATGCTTCGGCGGGGTACGATGGCAAGGTGGGGCTGTCGAATGTGCCAAGTAAGGAAAAGTACAAGATTCTATTATAGAATAACCTGGCAGACAGCTTGTATTGTTATTTTCACTGTCATTTTCATTGTCATTTTCTTGTTCCCTATTGGTACTAGTTTCTCACTCTGTCAGACTTGCGAGAGAGCAAAGTGGAAACACCGACAAAGCAGGTGAACACTTCGATTCTTCAATATCAATCAAATACTCAAGAACGTTGTCAACCACAATATCTGCTCCGCATTGTAGTCGACAGCTCTCTCGATAGCTGATATCATCAGTCACAGTGCCTACCATGTTTGTCGTATCCATCTTCATCTTCCACAACGATAGTTCCATGAGCGATGTTGTTTCCTTTCTGATACATTGTCCCACATGTTCCAATAACTGAAACACTAGCTTTTTACGTCGCTGTTTGGTATCATCATCACTTCGAATCATCGATCTAATGTGTCTTGACAAATCAAATCTCTCGTTCCACACTGGGCTCCAGCCCGATACTCGATCCGCAATTGCTGTTTGGAAAACTAATCGTATCAAAGGAATGACCTGGCTGGAGCCATTCGTCAACAGATAGTCCATCATGGTCTTGCTCTGTGTATCTTTGTGCACCAGTGCCATCAAAGGATATCTATCTAGGAGACATTGGACAATCTCGACCCTTGGATTTGGTGAGGTTGCGACAATATGAAAGGGCGTCATACCCATTGTGTCTCCCAGAATGTCTTTCAAAGTTTCACTAGCGTCGAATGCTGCAACAAGCTCTTCCACTGTGGTACGAGAAGAGTGGTAACACAGCTCATGGATGGGGAAGTCCGTCCATCTGTTACGACAAGCAGTCTTCGTACCAAAAAATTCCGATAAGACAAGCCCCTGAATATTATCATTGGTTGCGACGTCCTTTACGGAATCATCTGAAATCGAGAAAGTTATCAGCGATTCACACCCCATGAAACAGTCCTCGTTAATCTTCACTCCTTTTGTATCAGATGGAATTTCAAAGCCGAGTAGACTACTACAACGCCAAAAGGCTCGAGATTCGATCTCTTCCAAACTGGAAGGAAAGGCAATGGTACTCAATGAAGTGCATCTAGCAAACGACATATTGCCAATGTGTTTCAGACCTTCATGGAAATCTATCTCAGCGAGGGAAGTACAATCAGTAAAGGCGTCCTCGCCAATGCTCGTCACATTTGTTGGTATGGATACCTTGCGCAACAATTCGCAACTTCGAAAAGTACCGGATTCAATTCTTGTCATTCCTCGAGGAATGTCCAAAGCAAGTAGGGATGCGCAATTATCGAAAGCATCCTTACCAATACTAGTTATCCCATCGTGAAGACTTACACTGGCAAGGGAGACACAGGAATAAAAGGTATCCTCTTCAATGGTCTCCACGGTTGTTGGAATGAATAAGTCGTGGAGCGAGAAACATTTCGAAAAGCAACCTGTCCCAATTTCTTCTAGGCCGTCTGGGAGTTCAATATCCATCAATGCTGTACATTCTGCAAATGCGTAGCGCCCAATGACCTTGAGTCCTCTGTGCAGTTCCACCTTCTTCAGGCTGGCACATTCCATAAACGCAGATTCGCCAATAGTTTGGACAGTCTTGGAGATTGAGACGCTGACAAGTTTGTCCCAGCAGCGAAAATCGTGGTCTTGTATCTTCGTTACCGAGGATGCAACAGAAACATGAGCAACATTATCTGGAATCTCTTCCCCAGGCTGCCCAGTGTAGACAAAGATTTCGTTCGAGTTTTCCTCCTGGTCCGCATTCACTGTTTCTTCCATAATAGTACTGACATTCGCGCCTACTTGAAAATTTCTTGGTTTTGGAGCAAGTTAGCAACTCCCTTGCGTCAGACGTATGCGTTTCTGTTCAGTTCCTTCTTTGTACTGTAGGTGTCCAGAGTCTCTTTTCAGCGAAACGACACTTTGAACGTGTTTTTTTCGCCGACTACCTGACTCCTTCGACCGCACCAAAATTTCAAATTTGTAAGACCCAGTACGATTTCTACATACGTAGGACCAAGAAAAACTAAGGAAGGAGCCTGACAACAAACAAGCACATAAAAAGGTTCATGTGCCAAAGAGTCTCAAGCAAAGAGAATTGCAGTGATTCACATCGTGGCCAAAGAGGGCAAGGACCTCACCCTGACTCTTTCCTTGTATACGTGTACTACAAGTAGAATTGGACCACATTTCAGCATCCAAGAATCAACCAAAAGTAGGACAACCGAAACCATTGAGAGGACCCAAATAGAAATCGGAAGTTAGGCAAATCAAACCATCATCATCATGACAGGTGAATCACCCAGTCTCGATGAGTTGAATGCGATTATGAATCTCGAGAGGAAGGAAGCCTTTGACGACCCCAACAGCGAACTGTCCGATCTAGACAATCAAGAGACCCCCGAAGAAAAATTGATGAAAATCATTGACCAACCACTTCCGGGAATTCCAAAAGCGAAGCAAGATTTGTTCAAGAGATCACAAGCAGCGCGTCAGAAATCCTCACGGACTCGCTATTCCTACATTGCTTCGGGGGGTGGCACGGTACACGCCAATCGATTTCAGTTTGAAGATCCCCTTGATCCCGAAAAGAACGAGTGGAGAAAAACATTGAATGCAAGTTACAATGGTTCCACTAATAACGACAATACTAGTGCAACCAATGGTTTTGCAGGGATTCAACGAGTGTCAAGTAACTCGTCGGGTGTGAGCCAAGACTTCTACGTACCAACCTCGGCAGGAAGTGGCAGGCAAAAGAAACGATTGAGTGCCCGATCTCTAAACGATGGAACCGAAAGTTTGACTTCTACGGATACTCGCAACACTACTAGTGAACGACGAGCACGAAGATCAAAGAATAGCTCTCATTCTCGATCTAGTCTGAACCCAGCAAGCACTACCTCCTCACTTAACGATTCGGACCACAAGGAGTCTAGCATTTCATCCAATGATCATTTGGAAGTTCCTTCACAAGGTGCTGGAAAGCCACCAGTGCCACGAAAAGTACGAAGGGGGTCCAGGACTCAACCAGATGACGCACAACAGCCACAGGTGGCAAGGCAAACCATGCGAGGTCGCAGGAGGGGGAGTCGTGATGCTCAAACAATGCAGGCCAATACTAATCAAGCCGCTGCGGCTGGTCGAGGTAATAATCGCCAACGACGAGCCAATAGTCAAGATGCCGAAAGTAGTAATCGAAGATCCAGCAGCAAGGATGCGCAAGGCATGCGTCAAGCCACTAGGAGAAGCACATCAAGGGGACAGATGGCAGGCTTTGAACAAGCGTGGACGCAATCTCCGGGCAATAATGGAGAGGCTGTGAGGGTTCCTCCGTTGCGAAGAGGAAATGGCGCGGAAGTCAATGGGAAAAGAAGGGGTGCACGACCAAGTACTGCCAACTTGGCAAACTTTGAGCAAGCATGGGAAGAAGGGGGAACAGATGGGGATCTTGCTGTTGCTGCATCGATCGAGCCAAATCTGCAGCGATCCATTACGAGTGATAGCATGAACAAGAAGAGAACGAAACGGGAAAAGATTTTTGAATTGCAAGCCAAGTGCGATCGCTATAAGAAAGAATGGATAGAAGCTAGCAAAGACAAGAAGAAGGTTCGGAAGGAATTGCAAGATGTTCAGGTCAGTATTGTGTCGCTAAATATGCAAATTGATACACAAAAGGCCGAGACGGAAATCTTGCAAAAGCAATTGACGGACACGGTTCAAAAACTGATGGAATCCAAAAGGGTTCAAGAAAAGGAACGTGCCGAGGCTGATGAGACTGCCCAGGAACTGGAACAATCCAAACTCGACTACACCAAAGTCACTAGTGAGTCTCGCGAATTGAGAACTCGTATCGATGAATTGGAAGATAGCCTGAGTGACAAAGACAAGCAGATTGCTTCCTTGAATCATGATGTTGCGGAAAGTAAGAAATTGATTGAAGAACTCAAATTAGATTTGATTCACGCCGATGATGAAGGTATTTTGCTGGAAAAGGAACTGAAACGGCTGGAACAAGAGTTGGAAGCCTACAAGGAGGCCGCTGAAAAGGATCAGGAAGAAGGAAATGAAGGGAATCTTCGTAAGGCACAAAGTGACATCGAAAAGCGGTTGCATGATGAGAAGGAGCGTCGACTTCATGAGAAGCAGTTAAAGCTTGATGCCAAAATTAAGGAGTTTGAGGAGCAAAAGGAAAAGGCACAGCAAGAGCAGCAAAACAGACAAAAGGAGATGGCTAATCTTCATATGGCCGACAGTGAGAAGCAGAAGACACGAGACGAGCAACGCCGTGAGATAGATAGCGAGCTCAACAATCGTCTCAAGGAAATGGAAGATAACAATACGGTCTTGAAAGGAAAACTAAAAAGTGAACAGCTCCAGACTACGGTGAAGCTCAAACAACGCGACGAAACTATTGAACAATTGACGAAGAACTTGGCCGAAATGAAGAAACAGCTTGCGCAGCGAGATGCGGATCCCGACGGATTGGTGGCATTGCAAAGGGAAGTCGAAATGGCCAAAGCAGAAGCTGTCAGCATCCAGGATGATTTAGCTGAAGCACAGCGCATGAATGGCATGTTGCAGGAAGAAATTGAAGATTTCCAAACGACTAGTGTGGAGCTGAGAGGTGAATTGGAGACGTTGGAAAACGAAAAGAAGCAATTCTCCACGGAAATGACCAGACTCAAGGCAAAATCAGACGAATGGCAGAAAAAGTCAAGCGAATGGACAGACAAAGGTACGAATCAAATTTTTTTGGTTTTGGTTTGGTTCGAAGGATTGTAATTTCACCCTTCTTTTAATTTTCTTTAGCTTTTCTATGGAAAGAGAAAGCGGAATACTGGGAAAAGGTTTGCCGCGAAATTGATCCTTACTATAAAGAAGGAAGCAGTCAAGTATCGCCTGAAAAGAGCGAAGATCCTCAAGCCATGATGTTGCAAGCTGCAGTTGCGAAAAAGCGATCGTCAGCGGCGGTGAACAATCACGGTAGATGGAACCAATGGTTCAATAAGCAGGCGACTGGCGACGAAGCCGAATTTCAAGCCAAAGTTCAAGAATTGCAGGAACAGAACAACAGCCAAACACAGCTGATCAAGAAGCTTCGGAGTGAAATTGTTAGAATTCAAAGCAACCACAAAGAAGAAAATTACACCAAGCAACAACAGATAATACAAGTGCAACGGGAAATGGAAGCCATCGAACTTCAAAACACCAATCTTATGAAGCAGTTGGAATTGGCTCGAAAGCTGGAACACTTTGCAGCTCAAGATCTGACTACCACACTATGATTCGAAAACAAGAGCAGTTTCGCGTGTACTTCTCATTATTGCGATACTATTTAATCGCTGAAAACTTTTGATCTTATTTCTACTTGTATTACTCATTGCTACAATACCAATGGTTAGACTGTTTTCTTATTTCTTTTTGCAGAATGAGGTGCAAATACTTCACGAGAACTTGGCCGTAAAGGGGTGATGTTGCTTGCCGATCGAGGACTCGACTTCGTTGGGGTTGTATTCTCCTTGCGACCTTCGCGGACGGAGAATCTCGAAGACGTCCTAGATTTGCCAGTCCTCGATGACGTCTTGCTATTGGCAACCGGCGATGTTGGGAATGCCGAAACTCTGTTCAACTGCGCCTGGAGTTCCTTGTCTCGAATCTTGTACTTTGACAGCTCGTCCGAAAGAGTCTTGATGGCTTCATTCTTGATCCTGACTACAGCAACTACCCTCAATGTCTCCATTTCCAGTTGGTCGATGGTATGCTTGTTGACACAAAGAGTCTCAACTTCTGAAGCTCTTTCATCACTATGGGATTGCTGATCAGACGCAAGACGAGTATCTTTACAGTCATTGATTTCTTGTCGCAGAGCTGCATTTTCATTCTCAAGTTGTTTGATACTTTCGCTGCTATGTTCCAGCTCTTTCGTAGCACGCTTCATTTCATGCAGCGCCTGCTCTTCCAGCTGTTGCATCTGTTCGGAAAAGCTTTGTTCCGCCTTGGCAATTGCTAGCTTCATATCGTCGCTTACCCGATCCATCTTGTAAACCAGAATAGTATCCTTTGGAATATTGTCACCAGAGCCATACTTTTCATTTCGTAATAGTTTTAGGCGATTCTGAAGCTGCAGTTCAATGAGCCGCAGGCTCAAATTGACTTGATCGTGGACCAACGCGGCAGCTTCTGACGTGGAAAGTACCATCTCAGCATCGTCGCCAATCTCAACTTCACTATCTTCTAATTCCATGCTGGCTTTGGCAGAATGGATAATCTTTGACAATTTGTCTACTGAAGATTCAGTTTGCTTACGAATCTCTGCAACCCGATCAATGAAGGTGCCAATGTCTTCTTCTTGTGTGATCGTCATGCTGGTGCTTTGCACCCCTTCAACGCCTGCTCGGAGAACGGCAAGATCAACTGCAAGCACCTGAACCTTCTCCTCAAGCATGGTATTCGACTGCTCTAGAATACGAATGGCTTCATTGGACTTTTCTTGCTCCAAAGCAAGCTCCTCTTGAAGATTGGTCTTGTCCAGCAAGAGCGCAGAAAGTTCATTCTCGAGCTCTTCAACGTCACCGCTGCACATGGAACGGCCATCTCGACTTCGTCGACGAAGGCTTTCCATAGCTTCTTCCTTTTCTTCTACCTTTTGCATTAGATACTCCTCCGCTTCACTCTTCTCCTTGTCTAGGTTTTCGAGTTGGTTGATCAAAACCAGCTCCTGCTGACTTCCAGCTTCAGTGATTTCGACAATTTCTTCCTTGAGTGTCTTGATAATCTCGTCATAGGAAGTCCGGACCATTTGCATTTGGCTATCCTTGATAGACAAGGCATGTTGAAACTTTTCCTTGGCCTCTTCAAGTTCAGAATCCGGTGACTTGTTTTCGGGTTCTACCAAGAGTTCCATGTCCTTGTAGACTTCCGCAAGGCGTTCTTCAGTGGCATCTTTTTCACGGCGGCACGTGTCACATTCTAGCCTTAGACTGTAGACTTGATGCTTTCGTTTGACTTCCACCTCGACCACCTGTTGCCTCATCTTGGCAACCTCAGCGTCCTTTTCGCTGATTTCTTGTTCCAGGTCCTCTATCCGATCCAGTTTGGCACGCAAGAGATCGTCTAGTGATACGTCCTCGTTGGTGAAGGATTCGTTAATGTCACCGTCGGAGCTGTCGTACTCATCTGATATTTGCTCGGACATATCCAAAGACTTTTGAAGATTCTTGCTTTGTTCTGATAGGGATGCTGCTATATTGCTTTGTGCCTATAGAAAGATGGTAGAGCTTAGGATCAGGGTGTAAAAGTGTTGAGTTCCGTTCGAGGCAAGAAGGAAAAGCAGAAGAGAGGGATGACGACGATGAAATATTTCATCGTGGACGATCCGCAATATGCGTTTCGCGTCCAAAATAAGTGCCAACGGATTGTACCCAAGATTCAATCGTTGAAATGGAACATATGGGAATGGCGATAATTTACTACATGCAATTCGATCTACCAACGATGCAATGTGTGGGAGTTGAAACACCCGGTGTCGTTTTGCACCCGGTGTCGTTTGGCATGTTGGAGTTGTAATGTGTCGTTGCTTTTTGTTTTGGAGTTTTCATTGTTCGACTGACTCCTTCGATACACTTTGAAACAATGGTCTGCAGTACCAGGTACGCAGAACCTAGTAGCTACCCGGCATCGGTACAATCATGTTGCATGCTTGCTGTGATTATTCCATTTATAGCCGCTTTGATATAATGGTCACTATATTAAAGAGGCGAAAGAGCTAGTCCCATGGCAACCAAAGGTCGTCCAAATCACCAAATTACTACTTTTTACAGATGCAGCATGCCATGATGATCCGCATATGTGAGAGCTGCTTCTTCACAATACTCTTCAGTGTACCCGTCGTATCCAGTTGACACCATCCACGCAAGTGTCCTTGCAAGCACAGTAGGCAGTGTTGCCTAAGGTACCATCCTTGAATCATTCGTCAGAAGCAGTACGACAGCAGTCTCATAGCCAGCAAGGGGCAGCCCCGATCTGTATCTTAATACTATCCTCTTGTAGACTTTGAATCACCCGGTGAGCCATCAATCATTACAGCTTGTGCTAATCTAAGGAAGGGTTTGGTCGAACGGATTTCCTGGTGGCCACTGCGGAATGATGCTTCCAGCATTTGTTTTCTGTGTGTACATCTGCAAAACCAAAGAAACAACCAACTTTCATGCATTCGAGAGCTATTCTCCCCTGAAACCAGTTTCAAAAGAGTTTTTTGCGTCGCAAACACTGTGCCAAATTAAAGGCAACGTCTCTGCATTGCCGTTTCAATCCGTCCTTGTCATTATTGACAATCTCCCTTGCTTTTTGATGATGTTCCGTCACCACTGTTCCATATTCCAATTCTTTTTCTTTTCTAGTATAGGCAAATGCTTCTGCCCACGATGCACAAATGGATTTTTGAGACATGTACACTGGTGCTCCTTGTCCATCATCACTTTCTAGCGACATGGCAGCGTCTCCATAATATTCCTTGGCTTGCCTGGGACAGTGATGGAGGGACAAGCATCGCTTTTCACTCAATTCTTCATTCAAGCAATCTTCTCCCATTTTTCCATAGACCGCATGGCATTTGTAGCGTTTCTCACTAAAGGCCTTGCAATCCACCATTGTCTGTGTTATGGCAGCTGCTACAATTGTGGAATGAATCAATCCTGCGGAACGAACGAATGACGTGCATGCGAAGATCGTTGATTGATTCATTCATTTGATTCGACTACAATTCACGACTGGCTTGATTCGACTACAATTCACGACTGGCAGCAGTCAGATTTTGTCGGACTGAATTAAAAAACGACTGAACTTGAAAAATGACCAGTCGGGCCGTTTGGAGTTCCGGCACAGAGTGGGGTCAGTTTTGCAAAGTGGGTATGGGGGACGACTGATCACCTAGCGATAGATATACTAGACTACGAGTAGAATATACGTGTGGGCAATTTTCCTTCCCCCAAGC